TGATGATGACAGAAATGTTATAGAAGAGATATCAGGAGATTGTTCTACAGGAAAGGTGGTGCTGCAGGATCTGAAGAGACCAGGGGCTGTATGTTGGTGTGGAGAAACAAAGAAGCTGTATTACAGCTGTATTGCTTTGAATGAAATATATAGACAACTTCCTTCACATCCATAACCTGTCATAGACTTGAACAACAACTTAGTTGAATTAAATAAAACAATGTCAGCGGTTCTTCAATATTAAAAAAAAACTTGCATCATCCATTCTTCTGAAATATTAGCACTACACATGTTTTAAGTTTTGTCAGAATTTTTTTTAATGTTAAAATCTTATGTTATGAGTGATTAATGATTTAAGCAATCCTTTTGTTGTATTCTTATAATAGGTTTGGTGAGAAACAAGGAAACCAGTACCAGTCATGCTGGGAATACATGGAATAACAAGAGCACCTCAAGCATTTTTAATGCTTGTTCAAGGCAACAGCTATCAATAACAAAGGGACATAATTCCTAAAAGGATAATGTCCCTGGTCATACAATTGTGCATTGTGATGATAATCAAGTATTCAAGTTTCATGTTGATATTATTCACAGTTTTGAAATCATTCTACTTAATAAGCAATTTGACAAAAGTACAAAAGGGGCATAACTCCAAAAGTATAGCTTTAAGAGTGTATCAACTGTGCTTGATGACAACAACAACAAGAGCTGTCTGTAGGACAGCACGCTCGACTATTCTTAGTGCTTGATAGTAAAAGAGCCTTGATAATGTTAATTTTTTTAAGTTCACAAAAGGGCAAATTTTTTTTTATAAATTCATGTTATAGGCCTTACAGAGAATCCAATTATACAGTATTGGCTTGACTATTCGGAAGGTAATGTCACAAGGGTGTTTTATTGAGTATAATAATACTAATTACCTATCAGATTACATAAATTTGACAGACAAGGTACAAAGGCTTGTTATTAAGATGTTTTATCAAGTAAATCACTGTTTATTATTATGAATGCATAAAATTGTCCCAAAAAAGGCACAAAACCTTCAGTAGTTATTGAGATAACAGCTTACAAACAAAACTTTACCATGAATTTCTAAGTTGAAAAAGGGGAGAAAAATCAGCCTAAATGAAAGATAGAATTATGGATCTTTGTCAGTGACCTACAATTATGACCCTAAATGCATATGTGAAGTTTTAAATAAATATCTGTAATAGTTATTGAGATATGTAAAACTTGCATGTAAACATTAACCAAGATACTTAGTAGAAAAGGGGATATGAATCAGCCTTAATGCAAGATAGAGTTATGGAACTTGGTCAGTGACATACAATTATGACCCTCCAATTATGACCCTAAGTGCATGTGTAAAGTTTCAAGTAAATATCTTTTGAAGACCTTTAACCTCAACCAAAATTTCTAAGTTTCAAAGGGGCAAATAATTCTGCAAATATTGCAGGCAGAGTTATGCAATTTTTGCAAACTGATGTACATTGTTACTATAAAAAAAGTATTTACATTTAAATTGAATATCTCAAGCAATAATTGAGATATTTGACTTTACAAAAAAACTTTAACCAAAATTTCTAAGTTCCAAAGGGGCATAATTCTGTCAATATTGTAGGCAGAGTTATCCAACTTGTCAATCTGATGTACCTTGTTACTATAATAAGTATTGTAAGTTTCAATTGAATATCTCAAGCAATAATTGAGATATTTGACTTTACAAAAAACTTTAACCAAAATTTCTAAGTTAAAAAGGGGCATAATTCTGTCAATATTGTAGGCAGAGTTATCCAACTTGTCAATCTGATGTACCTTGTTACTATAAATAAGTATTGTAAGTTTCAATTGAATATCTCAAGTAATAATTGAGATATTTGACTTTACAAAAAACTTTAACCAACGCAGACGCGGACGCCGACGCCGGGGCGACTACAATAGCTCTCATATTCTTCGAATAGTCGAGCTAACAACTACAATTCAGTAATCAAAAAGCCTTGATTTTTTGCAAAACAGACAAGCTAAAAATAAAAACGTTGTTTGTTTACATTGATAAATTGACTGTTATCGGTTATATCAATAAAACATTTCATCTTTTATTTTACAAGTACACTATGATATGATAAAACTGGTGAGTTTTCTTTTGTAATCATCAAATGCACTGTTTATATTTTATGTTACAATACCTGCCCCGTTCCCAAGATTTTGTACTATATATCATTTTATAACACTTATATTTAAACAGATTACATCAATAAATATCATTTTATATCACTTATATTTAAACAGATTACATCAATAAATATCATTTTATATCACTTATATTTAAACAGATTACATCAATAAATATCATTTTATATCACTTATATTTAAACAGATTACATCAATAAAATTAGGTATAAGCTGCTTGTAGTTGTTTATCTGTTTGTTTGTATCATTTTACGCCTTTTCCCAACAGTATTTCAGTCATATAGGCGGGTAGTTTCCTAACCATCGTTTCTGGAGAGTTATACCAGTACTAGACTACCTTCCTCAACGCTAAACTACCAAAGCATCTCTTGGGGATCTAACCCACACCAGAGAGGTAACTGGATTAGAAGTCATTGACTCTAACCCCTCGACCACGGAGGCGGTTCTGTTGTTGTTTAAATCAATGAGTTAAAACATAAGAATACTACATGTATATGGGTTAAAAGTATCAGTGACTATGTAGTTATAGAGGAGATAATGTAATTGTAAGATAAACAAGCGTGATTAGTGTATTAATGCTAGGGAAGGTACTGGTCACTCCTATGAAATTTCATTGACATCCCAACAGGAGTTTCATCTGTGAAAGTTACACATGATTTTTCTATTGATACAGGAAGTCCAAGGCAGGGTTTGCGGAGCAGGCTCGGACCTGGCTTTTGCAGCGATAGACCACACGTGTATATTTAAAAGTAAATCAAATAAACAAGAGAGGCATGATGGCCCTGAGATTGCTCAACTGTATATAGCACAGGGCAGCACCAATTTTAACTCAGGGGCTTTTATTTGAACAAACTTAGTAGACACCCATTAGAAGATGTTTCATGATAAATATCTAAGCTCTAGCTCTTTGGGGGTTTTACAAGAGTTATTAAAATTAAGTTTTTACTATACACATAAAAGGAAAACAATGAACTTCCCCCACCATGGGCGGGCCAATTTTGAACCCAGGGCTTTAATTTGAACATACTTGGTAAACACTCACTAGAAGATATTTTATCCTTAGTAATTTAACTCTGTGGTTTTTTTAAAAGAAGATTTTTTTAAGTTTTTAATATACATATATAAGGAAAATCAATGACCCCGGGGCGAGGCCAATTTTAACTCCAGGGCCCTTATTTGAACAAACTTGGTAAACACTCAATAGAAGATGTTTCATGCTAAATATCTTAGCTCTAGCTATTAGGATTTTTTAAAAGAAGATTTTTTATAAGTTTTTACTATATACATCAAGGGAAAAAAATCATCCCCTATGGCGGGGCCAATTCTGACCTCAGGTCTTTTATTTGAACAAACTTGGTAGACACCCACTAGAATATTTTCATGCTAAATATCTAAGCTCTAGCTATTTTGGTTTTTTAAAAGAAGATTTTTTAAGTTTTACTATATACAAATGACCCCCCCCCCCCCCGGGGCAGGACCAATTTTGACCACAGGGCTTTTTATTTGAACAAACTTGGTAAACACTGACTAGATAATGTTTCATGCCAAATATTTAAGCTCTAGCTCTTTAGGTTTTTTAAATGAAGATTTTTTAAGTTTTGTGCATGGAATTAAAATTCTTTGAACAATTTTTATAGTTGACTACCAAAGGAAAATTCCTGTGAAGTTTGGATGAAATTGGCTTAGCAGTTTATGAGGAGATGTCGTTTAACGTAAAAGTTTACGGACGGACGACTTTAAACATACATGTTAATCAATTTCTTAAATTAGGTAACATATCTTTTTAACCTTTTACCCCATGAGCATATTGCGAAAAATGGCCGTTTTCATTGAAAAGCCTCCTGTAACAAGTTCAAACTGCTATGAAACTGTGAAAAATGCTTCAATACTAATGAAACTTGGCACAAATGTTGACTACACCATAGCCTCTGTAACAGCAGGCTCAATGGTAAATTTCCCGTTACCATGGCAACGGGGGACGTCTCAAAATTGCCAAAAATCACTATTTTGCATTGTTTTTTTCCATCAAAACTGATTTCAAAGTGCTGCAACTTCTCAATGAATTGAGATAGAGTAAAAGGCTTTCAAGCATCGGTTACTAATTACCCTAAGATCGACCTGAGGCCATTTTTAGCCTGTCACATGTCCAAAATTTTCTTGGAGATGAGGGGGACTCCGCCCCCCTTCAAACCTCCAAACAGAAGGGGGCACATCCCCCTTCTGGCAACCCCCTGATGTAATATTTGGATGGGGGACGGCGCCGAAAAAGTGGTCACTTTTTTTAACAACATTTCTCAAACAGAAAACAGTGTTCGGGGCCTAATATAGGGCATCATTCACTGTTTGAGGCCTCAAAAAGGGGGGGGGGGCAAAAAGCCGTCGAAACACGCTTATATAAGGGAAAAGTTTAAGTTTGAATTTTTAACATTTTGGTAAACCATTATAGAAATATTCTTCTTTTTTCAAAAAACTTTCATCATTGAAAATAGAGAAAAACAAATCAATAAAAAACTAGAACTGTGTCCAAAGGACACGGATGCCCCCACTGACAACATATATATGGTATATAGTGAAAAAATCAACAAAGGGCCATAATTCTGTTAAATTTGGTCACAGCAAAAATTCCTTCCTTTACATCCATCTACACATTAAGGTTGTTCATCCCTGGAAGTTTAAGCAAAATCTGCCATCCAGTTTAAGAGGAGTTGCGTTCACAAAATTTCTACATAGTATATTGTGAAAAAATCAACAAAGGGCCATAATTCTGTTCAATTTGGTCGCAGCAAAAATTTCTTCCTTTACTACCATCTACACATTAAGGTTGTTCATCCCTGAAAGTTTAAGCAAAATCTGCCATCCGGTTTAAGAGGAGTTGCGTTCACAAGATTTCGGGACGTACGGACAGAGATAGGACGGACGTACGGACGGACGGACAAGTGTAACCCTATATGCACCCCACTTTGTGGGGACATAATAAGCATTTTCTGATGTACAATGTACCTGGCATGGAATTCTACCATCCTCAAATAGGCATCTATCTGATCTTGAACAAATTCAGCGCTTGCATTCTTTTCATAGAAACTGCACAAACCCTGTAACATATTATAACTGACATGATTTTTATATTATCAAAGATATACATGTATACTATCAGGAGTATTTTAAAAAGATAGAATTTCATATTTTTACAGATGTGTTTTCTATAGTTTTTTATGGGCTTTTATTTTATTTTGTTTTTCCTTATAATTTTTAGTGGGGGGATCCAATAATTTATAAATAGATTCTTAAAGAATTGAATCAAACTTTTTAATAATTAATAAGCTGCTTAGCAACCATCTGTATACAGAATGTATGCATTTAATAATACATGTAAATCAAAAACACGTTTATGTAAAGCTCCAATCATAAATGATCATTAAATGCTATAAATGTTTAAGCTGTCAGTAAAGTTTGACTCCTACATGTAGTTGCCTTATCAACAACTTACAAATCTACTTACATGTACTTGCCAATTAGTTTGGTGTTTGGCACAATGTGCCACATGTTTTCACCTGGGGACAAGTTTCCTTGTGGTGCATATCAATTCTTCTTGCAGTACAAACAATCAACCAGTTAATATAATTAATATACTTGTATTGTTTGACATTTACTCCCTACAGTTTAAACCCATTAATTACAAAACAAGTTATAGGACTTATATTAATCACCTAGAGTCACAATAATAGTGATGTTTGACCTATGACAATGTCAGTACTTGACAATTTTACTTGTAGTGTTTGACCTACCTTGCATTTCAGCTTTTGACAACGTCACTAATATTGTTTGCCTTCCCTTGTAACGTCAGCCTTCTGAAAATGAACTTGTTGTGTTTGACATACATGCACCTGGCATTTTAGTCTTTGACAATCTTACTTATGGTGTATGATCTGCCTGCTTTGCTAGCCTTAGTAATTCCTACTTGTGGTGTTACTTACTGCCAGCCCGCATAGCTCCATTGGTTACAGCGCGAGACTTGTAATCCTGACATTGTAGGTTTGATTCCCGGACTGGCCAAAAAAAAATACTAATCAGTTTTTGGATGAGACTTTAAGTATGAGTGCTTCAACACTTTACATGCCAGAGAACCAGGTAAAGCTTCTGGCATTGTGGCATCTTTCTAAATCTGTATCTTGCATCACCTCCAAAATCTAAAATGACTTATACTCTTCTTGACGACATGCCCATATGAGCAACCGGTGGCTAGTATAATTAAACTCAAACACACACTTACTTACTTGTTGTGTTTGACCTACTTGCCAAGTTAGCCTTTGACAATCTTAGGTGATTTTGTGGTGTTTGACTTGCCTGCCAGGCCAGCCTTTGACAACTTTACTAGTGGTGTTTGACCTACCTAGCATGTTAGGTTATAACAAATTTTCTAGTGATGTTTGATTTACCTGCCAAGCTAACAACTGTGTATCATCAGAATCTATAGCACGCTTGTATGCCTTCAATGCTTGATCATACTGTTCTAAACCTTCTGCAGCAACGGCAATCAGCACTAGGGCCATGTAGTGGTTTCCATCCTCAGATAATATTGCCTATAAAATTATAAATCAAAATGTATTGAACATACAGTACCTCTTTTAGAGAAGAAAAACACTATGCTAAAAGAAATGAATCAAAGTCAAGGTGTAGAACAGATAACATCATTGACTGCTTTTTGGATGAAAATGAGCCGCGTCATGACAAAACCAACATAATGGGTTTGCGACCAGCATGGATCCAGACCAGCCTGTGCATCCGCGCGGTCTGATCAGGATCCATGCTGTTCGCTTACCAACTCTATTACAAGTAGAGAAACTGATAGCGAACAGCATGGATCCTGATCAGACTGCATGGATGCGCAGGCTGGTCTGGATCCATGCTGGTCGCAAACCCATTATGTTGGTTTTGTCATGGCACGGCTCAAATGTGTAAATCCAGAGTGTGGCATGGCTGGTGCAGCTGCAGACTTGTAGAGATTTCCAGGGTCCTGAGTTGAAGTCTTTGTCAGGTTGTATATTTTTCATACCTTGTAACTTGACTACTGCATCAATTATGATTTATACACATGTACACTGTATATGGTACCTTAAATAATTACTGCAACATAGTAGAGTATCAGGTGTGAATAGATCATAGAAAGAAATTACATATAAAGAAGTATTTACTATATATTATACATAAGTGTAGAAACTTTCTTTCAAATCAAAGCTTTTTTCCTGTAAAATTCAATTAGCACTACATGTAAGATTTTTCTTCCTATTTTGAAATCATGTACTGTGTTATTTTTTTTTTCCAAATTTAAGTGAAGGCTTTTCCCTAATTTGTGTGAAAAGCCCTGTTATATAATATCAAGACAAGCTGCTAAAAAATATTTAGTTTCCTTTGCAATACAATTTCAATGCTCGTTATTGATATAATTTGCACATTTTTATAATGATTTTAAACAAATTCATCTTAGTTTGTTTGTGTAGGAAGCTATTAGCTTATAGACACACTCTCAAATCTGTTTCTGAAACCAACCAGTATAAAACAATGAGTATATATATATAACTTAATTACATCAATGCTTCAAAATAAATAACATACCTTGCAATGTTTTAAGGCTTCTTTGAATTCTTTTTTTCTGATTGCCTCTCGAGCATTCTTAAGAAGTGTCTTTATCTCTTTTGCATCCATCTGTTTTTAACTGAAAACAACATGACACCTGTGATTTTAACAAAGACACAAGAAAACAGTGATGCAAATGACTGCAAACTCAAGACAGTGTTAAGTGATTAAAGATAAGCGAGATTATATTCAAGTAAAGAGATTCAAAATGGAAGGGTAAATGGTCGTTGACTTTAAACAACTTGCCCCTCACCGCTGTGGGTTCGAATCCCGACAGGGACTTTGGATTCTTTCATGTGAGGAAGCTATCCAGCTAGCTTACGGAATGTCGGTGGTTCTACTCAGCTGCCCGTTAGTGCTTGAAATAATGCAAGGAAGGGCACCTGAGGTCTTCCTCCACCAATAAAGCTGGAACGTCGCGATATGACGTATACTGTGTCGATGTGACGTAAAACCCAAAACAAACAAACAAAAATCAAAATGGAACTGAAATTGCTGATTCAGTAGCATTTTATTCACTTTGCAAAAATTCATGTAATATTTTCTGCCATATTTTCAACTGCAATAGCATTTTGTTTGCTGTGACACTGACAGAGATGTAGATAACAGAGATAAGCAGCTAGCTCCTATTTACTCCATTGAGATATCACTAATGCCAGTTGAAAAAACCTCAGTGTAGTCCCTTTAAATCTGTTATCTATTGCAGCTTGTTCAAATATTTGTAACTTTCCATGCCTTACACTTAGAAAAAAAATAAAGTAGAACATACCCTCTGAGCCAGTTTTTTCGTCATATGAATAGTTTTGCAACAGAAATTAATATTTTGCTTCTCTTCCAAAACTGATGTATCATTTATTTAAATAGGAACTTTAAATGTTTTAACTGCAGCCATAGACAAATTTATAAGCTTTCAGAAAACGTATTTTTTTAGTGATTTCGATATTTGGTTAATAAGCTTTACTTGCTACAAGTTTTAAGTAAAGCCAACCCGCATGATATTTTAACTGGCTAGAAAGTTGCCTATCTCGAGAACTAGCTGTTACATTGTATCTGCATATATGTCTCTGGCTGTGACAATTTCTATTGAATGTCAAAACATACTGTGTCTCTCTGAAGAGAAAATATAGAGCATGATAATTCTGGAAAAGGAAAGATTTGAAACTAATCCAGTGTCTGTGAACTAGTTAAAATATATTGATGTGCAATAACTAATTATAAGATATTTTTATTTTGGGTCTGAATCTCACGGGGGAGATATTGCCAATACACAAAAAAAGCACAATATTTTGTCACAGGGTGAGAAAAATGTGCAGCCTGACCGGGACTCGAACCCGGGACCCTCAGAATACTGTTCCACGGCTCTACCGACTGAGCTATCTGGCCGCTTACACATTTCTCCCCTAAATAGTGAACAGTTCTGAACCGTGACATACTCCCCTGCTATATTGAAATTCGTCCTCGAATTTCACAGAGTTACAGAGCAATGTGCAGGGCTACAGATAACATTTTGTGTATATTGGGTGATTACCCCTTGTTTTGTGATCTATTGGTTTTTTTTTATTTTCTTAGAGTTATTTCTGTATTTTTTACCCTACCCACTCTAACCAATTTGGGTTTTAAAGCAAATGTTCATGTATTTTACCCAAAATTTCTGACCTTCATTGTAGACTGTTGTAGGTTTTGTATGGTAATAAAAAAGCTACTTACTACTATGCTTTATGGTTTATTGGTCTAGGAGATTTCCAAGCTGCCTCAGGTATGATTTAAAGGTTAAAACAGTCTGAAACAGTATGATCTGCCTGATGTAAAGCATTAAGTATAACTTATGTCTTTACCCACCAGTTCCAATGTAGTTTGCATAAATAAGAATTTATTTACTTTTTCTTACCCTTAGTTATTATTTCTATTGCTTTTTTTGACATTTTAATTGGGTAATTACGCAAATACGCATGTTATCTGCAGCCCTGAATGTGAATTAAACTCTGAGCTGTATTCAGTCACGGTCCCCCGTTGGGCGCCAAATGTCACAGGGTGAGAAAAATATGCAGCCTGACCGGGACTCAAACCCGGGACCCTCGGAATACTGGTCCGAGGCTCTACCGACTGAGCTCTCTGGCCGTTTACACATCTTCTCTCCTAAATAGTGAACAGTTCTGAACCGTGACATTTTATTGTGTAGTTGCACTAGTCCAATATATTAGATCATTATACAGGCTTGTAATATTTTATTGATGGTCAAACTGACTTTGCCAAGAAGTAAAAATATCTCAAGGCAATGTCATACATGTATTTCTAGGACTAAGCGTTCACCTGGACCCAGAGATATTAGTCTGTTTCTCTGCCTGAACCATAACAGAAACTTTTTACCATACACTGACTTTAACAGTTATATGCAAAACATTATAGTAACAAGCTAATGTTGGCAATACTATCAATGAAATTAAAGCAAATTAAAAACGATGGCACGAATAACAGCACCCTATGTCACTGTAGTTGAAATTCCTTGTCCGAATTTCATTACAGTTTACATTTTCATGGTAAATTATTTCAATTGTTTGATGTGTCATGGGCTATACTTGTATATTTATCAACAGAATTAATGATTTTGTAAAACTATCATATTTAGAAATGTTTTGGATCAATCTGAAAATGTGATAAAACGAGTTTGCAAACCAAAAATAAGAGTTGTTGTTGTTGTTGTTGAGGGGCACGGGCTAAAATGCGCACATTGCTTAATATTTCGATGATATTTAAGGATATGTATATATGTCAAACCACATCAAGAATATCTGTGACTGAAATATAATGACATTTATCAGTATCGGTTTTTTTCACCAATAAAGTCTCTGCAATTACATGTTTTGTTATGATTTACAAAATGACTGCTCTAGATATTGTGAAAATGACTTGGTACGCACATTATTAATTAAGTACAATGCAACTTTTATAACATGCTCTTCTCAACAAAGATCTGTTGATAACAGACAAATGATCGAAGAATGTTCAAACATGACACACATTAAAGTTTAGAATTACAGTCCTTGATCTTTTTTCAACAAAAGCCGATTTATTAATAATTATTGCTCTATATTGCTAATATTGTACGAATATTTCTAAAGCGCATTTGAAACACTGCGTCCTAGAAATATCATAGAGCAAAGCTTTAGAAAAAATTTAGAATAAAAGGTTAATGCACCTTTTGCGTTGGCAACAGAATCACGAGGATTTACTTCTAAACGCACGAACTCGCAGGGCAAGTGATTCAGTAACAGTCCAAGGGCTCCTGCACTGCGCTATTCTAGCTAAGCTCGACTTTGTCTGTATCTCGTATAAAGAAACCATTTCCTCACGCTTTCTATTGTTCTAGTGCGATGTCAATTGACTCAATGAGAATCTTTATCCGTTAATACATGTTTCCTTCTCCGTTAATGTAAAAATTGGATTGGAACCTGTAATAACATATAGAGTCATTTTCAAGAAAATAGTAAAATACACTTCAATTTACTGTTTCTCTTTTGTGTTAAAGGGTACACATCATCTTAAATATATTTTCTTCGAAATGAAACTATTTTCTGCTAAAATAATAATTAGAATAATTATAAAAGTATTGTGCAGATATACAATTCGACCGATCTTTTTTGCTCGTGGACATTAATTTGAATGCCTTTATATGTAAAAAATAAAGCAGAAATTACCATGTATTTCATAGGTGAATAAAACTACAACATATTAAAATCTAGTTTATGGTTACATGTATCTACATTGAAATAAAACAACAAAAACATTCACATTTCTACCTATAATTTTGAATATACATTTTTGATATTATTCAAATTCTAGTGCAGTTGTGAAATATTTAATCTACGTGTTACTAGCTGTACATGCTATGGGCACAAGGGTGTTGAAACATCACCTATCTTGTTGAGGGCATTGGAGGGGGGGGGGGCATGTTACCATGGATGAAGACGGGTATTACTTGTCTAGTTGGAACACATTAAGTAATATACAGCCCATGTTAAGTTACCATCTCGTTACATGCTGCGCACTCCTCCCTTACATGATAGCTTATACAAGCTTAAAGACATCTCTTGTTGAAACGAAGAACATTAAAGTGGATTAGAGCAACTTGCATTTATTTCATCCAAAGTTTATAACATGTTTTACAACATAAAGATTTCTATGTGACTATTGACCTTGGGCATTTGTTGAGTGGTCATTTGTTTCTCACCGCTGATTTAGAAATCAAGTGGTATTAGTAGTTTGTCACTTGGGAAGAAATTGGTAAGTAATAGTTTGTAATCCATGAAAGCTGGTGAGGTGGACTGACCATCCAGATATGACCAAAAATTGTGATACAATCGCCTTAAAAAACCCAGATAAACAAAATTAAGTCAAGAAATATACAAGTTTTCTTTATTTCAAACAAAAGTCATAAAATTAGGTGATACATGGTCTCACTATCAATCTGATAAGTTACAGTCATTAATTTCACTTGCATGTGACAGAATAGAGCTGCAATTTTAATTGGTCTTGACACTATCAGTGGTGTCTTTGTTAGTTTTACCCATGCTGAAAATTTCCATGGGTCTTTACAAGGCTTACTGGGTACCCTCAATACAGATATTCCCGTCTGAACTGTAACACATAACAACAAAATATAACAACATTACATCATAATTTTGTATACATGTATATCTTGTTTCAATTTTTTTCCCCAATATTCTGAAAGTTTTCTTATATTTAACAATACTGTTCAGAAATGGTATTATTTCAAATTGATCACAGATGACTGTTTTCAAGCAGTGATATTTATATAATAATTTAATGATTCTGTATCCTCCGCTTGTCTTGCATCGACCAGGATTACCTGTGAATAAAAGATGAAATTTGTTTATACATCTTCACAAGAAATGTATGAGTAAGGTAATGACAATCACTGTTGCAATGTTTTAAACCATTATCAGGTGTAATATATTTAATTGACTTGTCCATTTTTTCTACCTTGAAAATTTCAATATCATTTAAATACATTAGTAAGATTCAAACATAAATTGTCCATCAACAAAATTCATTGATTCCGTAACCCCAAGTTAGCTTCATCAGAACAGAAATGTACATGTATAACCACTGCTGATATAAAAACAGATCTACTTCCAGTTATCGCAAAAATTTCTATACCTTGAATTGTACAAGTTTGCACAGTTAGTAATATGGTGATTGGAAACAAGAAACACTACTTGCAATAAAGTGTACGCATTTAATTGTATAAACTAGCAGTAAAAAGTGATTTGGTTTCTATACCATTATTACTGACACAATGTGAAATAAATAAATTGTAATGTAACGCCATTTGGCAACATGGGAAAGCGCAACATCAATAATATGCATATATTGTTAAAGTAAAAATTTATAAAAACATGGCATTCTCATTGATATGAAAGTTTCCTATACATGCTTATTTACACAAAAAGTATTTTGAATTAACCAGAAAATGATAAAAGTGCAAATAGTTTAATAATAATCTTGACTTATTAATAACAAAAAGGTGGCACGATAGCTAAGTTGGTTAGACCACTGGCTGTCACTCCTGAGGTCCCGGGTTCGATCCTGGGTAACACCCTTGGGCTTTTTCAGAGACACTTTCAGTGTTTCCCACCTAACTAGATGTGTACTGGTAAGAAATCCAGGTAATCCTTGCATGTATCAGTGCTATACACTGGGCATGTAAAAGAACCAAGGTGTCTTTCAATAAGAGCTAGGGACTGGTTCCTGAATTCTCTTGTATCAAAGAGCTTTCTCTGAAGTTACTAGTCTATATAGTCATGTCTACGTCCCCGCGAGGGGTTTGACATTAATGTAAGATAGATAGATAGATAGTCATCACCTTAGTGCAATAATGGGTTCTTTTAAATTATATAAAGAGTTAATCCATTACTGTACTAAGGTGACAAAGTATTTGTCTTAATCCACTAACCTGTATCAGTTCTGAGTCTTTCTTCGAGTTAACAAGTATGTGTAGAAGAGCTTGTCTTGCTATAGAGAGGTCATGACCTTGACTTCCTGTCACATGACAATCTAGTATCTTCTGCAGCTGATGTTTAGCCAATCTATAAATCAATACCAGACAACATATTAATAATGATCAAATGAACAATAGGGCAGATATTTTTTTTTTCAAGATTTTGAACTACTGTTTTATGCTAAAATAACATAATTTTTTCACTGAACTCTCTAAAACTGGCAATGGACAGTTCCAAATCCAAACAGGGACAGTCCCAAATCCAAACCGGGAAATATGCTTTAATCAACATTTTTATAAAATGTTTTATCATGTAGAAACTGAAATTTGGTTAGAGTAAATATTTGATCAAATGCACTAGATTTTTATGGGATTATTTTAACTGATAGAATAGTGGTATTCTTCCAGTTTAAGTGAAATTATATTTACTCTTGTCCTATATAAATGTACTGTTGTTAATGATTTCTTATGGTGAAATAAACAAAAAAGTAATCTGTTAAATAAATATTCTTGTTCTTGTGTGTTTTTGAGTGTGGGTGGGGGAACTCCGTTCCTATGGGCATTAGGGTGCTGAAACATATCACTTGCCTTCTTCAGACACTTGAGGGGGTGGGGTGGGAATGGAGTCGGACAGGTATTTCTTGTTGGAACACATTAAGTTATACACAGGCCATATTAAAAGCTTTACCATCTCATTAATGCTGCACACTTAAAATGATAGCTTATTCAAGCCAAAAGAAGTCTCTTATTCAATTCAATTCTTGGGGGAAAAATGGATTAGTCTCGAGCAACTTGCATTTATTTCATCAAAGTTTATAACATGTTTGTCAACAAAGGTTATATATAACAATTGACCTTTGGCATTATGTCGAGTGGTCATTTGTTTCTCACCGCTGATTTAGAAATCAAGTTGTATTAGTAGTTTGTCACTTGGAAAGAAATTGGTAAGTAATAGTTTGTAATCCATGAAAGCTGGTGAGGTGGACTGACCATCCAGATATGACAAACAAGAGGGCCATGATGGCCCTGAGGTCGCTCACCTGTATATAGCCCCCCCCCCACACACACACACACCCATAAGAAGATGTTTCATGCTAAACATCTAAGCTCTAGCTCATTGGGCTTTTTAAAAGAAGATTTTTAAATTTTTTTACTATACACATATAGTTAAAAACAATGACACCCCTGGGGCGGGGCCAGTTTTGACCCCAGGGCTTTTATTTGAACAAACTTTGTTGACACTTACTAGAAGATGTGTCATGCTTAATATCTAAACTCTAGCTATTTGGGTTTATTCAAAGAAGATTTAAAGTTTTTGCTATACACATATAAGGAAAATCAATGACCTCCGGGGCGGGGCCAATTTTGACCCCAGGGCTTTTATTTGAACAAACTTTGTAGACACTCACTAGAAGATGTTTTATGCTTAATATCTAAACTCTAGCTATTTGGGTTTTTTCAAAGAAGATTTTTTAAGTTTTTGCTATACACATATAAGGAAAATCAATGACCCCCGGGGCGGGGCCAATTTTGACCCCAGGGCTTTTATTTGAACAAACTTGGTAGACACCTATTAGAACATGTTTGATGCTAAATATCTTAGCTCTAGCTCTTTGATTTCTTTAAAAGAAGATTTTTTAAGTTTTTACTATGTACATATATAGGGAAAATCAATGACCCCCTGGGGCAGGGCCAATTTTGACCCCAAGGCTTTTATTTGAACAAACTTGGTAGACACCCATAAGAAGATGTTTCATGCTAATTATCTAAGCTCTAGCTCATTGGGCTTTTTAAAAGAAGATTTTTTTAAAGTTTTTACTATTCACATATAGTTAAAAACAATGACACCCCTGGGGCAGGGCCAGTTTTGACCCCAGGGCTTTTATTTGAACAAAATTGGTAGACACTTACTAGAAGATGTTTCATGCTTAATATCTAAACTCTAGGTATTTGGGTTATTTCAAAGAAGATTTTTAAGTTTTTGCTATACACATATAAGGAAATTCAATGACCTCTGGGGCGGGGCCAATTTTGACCCCAGGTCTTTTATTTGAACAAACTTTGTAGACACTCAATAGAAGATGCTTCATGCTTAATATCTTAACTCTAGCTATTTGGGTTTTTTCAAAGAAGATTTTTTAAGTTTTTGCTATACACATATAAGGAAAATCAATGACCCCTGGGGCTGGGCCAATTTTGACCCCAGGGCTTTTATTTGAACAAACTTGGTAGACACCTATTAGAACATGTTTGATGCTAAATATCTTAGCTCTAGCTCTTTGAGTTCTTTAAAAGAAGATTTTTTAAGTTTTTACTATATGCATAAAGGGAAAATCAATGACCCCCTGGGGCGGGGCCAATTTTGACCCCAGGGCTTTTATTTGAACAAACTTGGTAGACACTCACTAGAACATGTTTCATGCCAAATATCTAAGTTCTAGCTCTTAGGGTTTTTTAAAAGAAGATATTTAAAGTTTTTTCTTTCTGTTGCCATGGCAACCAGAGTTCTGCATGGAATTAAATTCTTTGAACAATTTTTAAAGGTGACCACCAAAGGAACATTCCTGTGAAGTTTGGATGAAATTGGCCTTTAGGTTTATGAGGAGATGTCATTTATAGTAAAAGTTTACGGACGAAGGACGCCAGACGAAAAGCGATCACAAAAGCTCACCCTGTCACTTTGTGACAGGTGAGCTAAAAATGTGATACAATCGCCATAAAAAACCAAGATAAACAAAATTAAGCCTAGAAATATACAAGTATTCTTTATTTCAAACAAAAGTCATAAAATTAGGTGATAACATAGTCTTACTATCAATCTTGTAAGTTACAGTCATTAATTTAATTTCACTTGCAGTTGACAGAATAAAGAGCTGCAATTTTAACTGGTCTTGACACTATCAGATTGGTATTTTTGTTTGTTAGTTTTACCCATGCTGAAAAATTTCCATGAGTGGTTACAAGGCTTGCTGGGTACTGAACTGCAACACATAACACTTAATAAACACAGAAATCTACTACAATTTTCAATCCAAAAATATAACTACATCATAATTTTGTATTCATGTATATCTTGTTTTAAAAATTTTTTTTTCTCCAATATTCTGAAAGTTCTCTAATATTAAACAATACTGTTTTTCAAATGGATCATTTCATGGCTGTCACTCCTGAAGTCCCGGGTTCGATCCTCGGTAACACCCTTGGGCTTTTTATGAGACACTTTCAGTGTTTCCCACCTAACTAGATGTGTACTGGTAAGAAATCCAGGTAATCCTTGCATGTATCAGTGCTATACACTGGCACGCCCGGCAAACTGTCGCTCCACTTCAAAATTGTGGTGTACGGTAAAACGAGCGAACGGCATTTCCGAGATAGAGCGGAAGGCCGATTTAAACGTCTAATTGTAAGTATTGTTTATGTTTTTGTCTTGTTATTTATTTAAGTTGTATTTTTTCGAAAATCAGAAAATGTGGTTCCGTGTAGGATTGATTTAGGCTTCCAATTATCTAAGCTGTTACAAAGAGAAAATTATATTAAGCCCGGGAGAACTTTTCTCCCCGACGAAGCGAACGATGATTTGTAGAATATTGAACTTCCCAACCATAGAAATGCCATACCTTTCGGATTTTTTGAAAAAGTGTATTAGTAGATTATCGACCCTTAATAAGAACTTGTCCTTCGTGCAAAATAAATTACTCCTTAAGGATTTCTTAAATTTGTAAACCGATATTTTTCGAAAGTAGCCTTCCGCTCTATTTGGAAATGCCGCTCGTTTTACCGTACACCACAATTTTGAAGTGGAGCGACAGTTTGCCGGGCGTGACTGGGCATGTAAAAGAACCAAGGTGTCTTTCAATAAGAGCTAGGGACTGGTTCCTGAATTCTCTTGTATCAAAGAGCTTTCTCTGAAGTTACTAGTCTATATAGTCATGTCTACATCCCCGCGAGGGGTTTGACATTTATGTAAGATAGATAGATAGATAGTCATCACCTTAGTGCAATAATGGGTTCTTTTAAATTATATAAAGAGTTAATCCATTACTGTACTAAGGTGACAAAGTATTTGTCTTAATCCACTAACCTGTATCAGTTCTGAGTCTTTCTTTGAGTTAACAAGTATGTGTAGAAGAGCTTGTCTTGCTATAGAGAGGTCATGACCTTGACTTCCTGTCACATGACAATCTAGTATCTTCTGCAGCTGATGTTTAGCCAATCTATAAATCAATACCAGACAACATATTAATAATGATCAAATGAACAATAGGGCAGATATTTTTTTTTTTTCAAGATTTTGAACTACTGTTTTATGCTAAAATAACATAATTTTTTCACTGAACTCCCTAAAACTGGCAATGGACAGTCCCAAATCCAAACAGGGACAGTCCCAAATCCAAACAGGGACAGTCCCAAATCCAAACAGGGACAGTCCCAAATCCAAACAGGGACAGTCCCAAATCCAAACAGGGACAGTCCCAAATCCAAACAGGGCAAATCCATTTTGCAAATTCAGATTTTGGTCAGTCGGTCAACCTAACTGGCTTTCATGGGTAACTTACCAGGAATTTTCAATTTCTCCACAAGTGACCAACTACTAATCCCACATGATTTCTGAATCAGGGGTGAGAGACAAATGACTGTTAGACTCAATCTCCGAGATTGTCACAGCGAAAATATACCTCATCTGACAATTGAATCAGCACCCCTGGATTACAAATCCAATGCTCTCCCTATTAAGCTAAGCAGATAGTGGGAAATAATATATAAATAAAATAACCTTGAGTTTGTGTGTAGATTCAGAACTCCCTGCATTAAGTTAACAGCAATGCATTCTGGGTGATCTGCCAATATCTGATCTACTGTTTCATTGAATACTTCCTTGTAGTGGTCTAAATTTTCTGAACTTGTCTGAAAATATTGAGAAATGTTTGAAACATTATCACACTGTGATTAATTGTGCTACAAATGAATGTTTATTTCATGGTTCAAATTATCAACATCTTTATTTAAAGCAAAAAAACAAAACAACAACAACAAAACAACTTACATTTGCAAATATAGTCAAGGAACCCAAAGTGAGGATATGATTGAATAGTCAATGTACCCAAAGTGAGGGTATGATTGAATAGTCAAGGTAGCCAAAGTGAGGGTATGATTGATTGAATAGTTGAGGTAGCCAAAGTGAGGGTGTGATTGAATAGTTGAGGTACCCAGTAAGGGTATGGTTGAATAGTCAAAGTAGCCAAAGTGAGGGTATGATTGAATAGTTGTGGTACCCATTGAGGGTATGATTGAATAGTCAAGGTAGCCAAAGTGAGAATATGACTGAATATTTGAGGTGCCTAAAGTGAGGGTATGATCTAATAGTTGATGTACCCAAAATGAGAGTATGATTGAATAGTTGAGGTACCCAAAGTGAGAGTATTATTGAATAGTTGAGGTACCCAAAGTGAGGATATGACTGAATAGTTGAGGTACCCAGTGAGGGTATGATTGACTAGTCAAGGTAGCCAAAGTGAGGATATGACTGAATAGTTGAGGTAATCAAAGTGATGGTATGATGGAATAGTTGATGTACCCAAAATGAGGGTATGATGGAATAGTTGAGGTACCCAAAGTGAGGGTATGATTGAATAGTTGAGGTACCCAAATTGGTATGATTGAATAGTTGAGGTACCCAAAGTGAGGGTATGAATGAATAGTTGAGGTACCCAAAGTGAGGGTATGATTGAATAGTTGAGGTACCCAAAGTGGAGGGTATGAATGAATAGTTGAGGTACCCAAATTGAGGGTTTGATTGAATAGTTCAGGTAACCAAATTTTATTAAGCTCTTCTTGAACTTTATTTCTCTTGCATTTATGTTGGTGATATCTCTTATGGTCAAACTACACAATAATTTGTATTAGGGTAAATCCCGGTAAATACGGACAATTCGGTAAATACGGACGCGAGCAACATAAATATCATTATCACCAGCGCTTGACAAACTGTAATGTCTATTAATGACGATGTCGCTTCTTTTAATATTCGTGTTCGAATATATTTAACAGTGATGATGTCATAAGGTATGTATGACGTCATTTCCTTTCTTTTAAACCAACCATCTACGCTTCCAGGCTATTTTTTTCAACATTTAAATCGAAGATATACCAGTCACCTTGGTTTTGAGGTCTCAGTTTTGAATTTATTGTATAGCCTTCTCTTTAAATTTGATAGATTTTTCTTAAATTACATTTATTTTTTTGAAAAATGTACTTGCACAAGACATTTTAAGATTAACTAAATAGATATTTGCAAAAAATAAATCGTCCGTATTTTTCCTACGACTTTTTCTTCAGTACTGAAAATACGGACAACCTGATCGAAGAGCAATTACGAGATTCAAATAAAAAAAATAAAGGCATTTTCTCAACTTTCAATGCATAGAACTGACAATGTTTAATAACAATAAACAACTACTCTTAATCTATCTTATAATCATTGCACACGCGCTGAATTTCAAACCTGATCCTTAATATGGGCTATAATTTACAAGGCCACTTCCTCAAGGCGACTTCATCATGCTAAATTTATACCATTTTAATCTGTTTCTAATTAACCTATTATTCAAACATATCTTAATCAAACCTCTTATATCTTGGTCTGTCAAAAGTACATATTTTTCCCTTTGCTCTTCCCTCTTTGACAATTTTCATTATAAATATAATTATATTATTTCATCATCCCAACCATTCCTTCTTTTTCAGGATGCCTAAAAAGTATACTTATAAAAATAGGGGGAAAACTATGAAATATGAACAAACGTCCCTAGAAAACGCCGTTCGAGCTGTTGAAGCCGGGATGTCGGTACGAAATGCGGCAAAACAGTTTAATGTGCCGAGGTCAACCATCGGTGACCGCAAGTCCGGAAAGCATGGTCTGAACACAAGTCATGGCAGACCACCAGCATTACCTGCTACTATAGAAGCAAAAATTGTAGGTAGCATAAAGGCAGCTGCTAAACTTGGAGTTGGCCTTAGCCGTAAACAAATCTTGAGAAGAACACATGTGTTGTGCGACCGGCTTAAGATTAAGTCCAGTTATAATGACTTCAAAGCTGGAAAAGCATGGTTTGAAGGTTTAAAGCGCCGATTCCCGGACCTTGTATTGAGAAAGCCCGAAAAATTGTCTTCTGTAAGGGCACGCATGTTAAATCCAGAAGTGCTTGGAAAGTACTTTGATACACTAGAGTCAGTTGTTGCTGCAAATAATCTGCTGGATAAGTCGCAATACATCTGGAATTGCGATGAATCCGGCTTTAATATGGAGCATAATCCAGTCAAGATTTACGCTGAAAAAGGAGAGAAATCAGTTGTGAGCAGGACCAGTAACAAGTCATCAAATATTACGTTGATGGCTTGCGTTAACGGTGCAGGTGATCGCATGCCTCCCATGTTTATTACCAAAGGCAAAACCAAACGGTCTTTACTCGGATTCAATACCCTTGGAGCGCCTGATAATTCTGTATGGACGTTTCAACAGAATGGATGGATAACAGATGACATTGCTGAAGAGTGGTTTGACACAGTTTTTCTGAAACACTGTGGTCCTGATCGCCCGCAGCTTCTCATAATGGATGGCCATGGGTCGCACGAGAGTTTGGCTATAATAGAGCGGGCTATTGAAGAGAATATTGTCCTCCTAAGTTTAACACCCCATTGTTCCCATTTTCTACAACCCTTAGACCGCACAGTCTTTGGGCCGTTGAAAAAGGCATACAATGATGCATGTTATTCTTTTTTGCAGGAAATTGTTCTACATGTAGTTGACAAATGGACATTTCCTGCTCTATTCTCACTTGCTTGGGAGAAAGCTGTGTCATCAACGAATGTACAAAATGGTTTTAGAGCCTGTGGTATTGTACCTCTCAATAGACGCGCAGTGCCAACAAGGGCTTTCTGTCCAAGTAAGCTTACTGATCAACCCGTCACTCGACCTGTTTCAGCTTCAGCAAATGTCTCCTCTGAAGACGTTGTAAGTCCGCCCGAGCCTGTATTAGCATCACAAAATATGCCCGTTCAACAAGTTGTTAGTTCGCTTAAGTCTGTTATAGTTTCGGAAAATATCTGTTATGTACCAGTTGTCCCTCCACCAGAGCCTGTTTTAGCACTAGGCAATATTTCCATAGAGGACGTGAGTATGCCGGCTCCGATCAATGAATCCCTCGAAGAAGTCACAATGCCTTTTACAAGTGTCTCATTCGATGGTGACAATCTGTGTCCGTATTTACCAATTTCTACACGGAGCATAAAAATATTAATACCGCAACGTTTTGGTCCAGAAACGTATTGGTTCAAATGAAAATGACCGAGGAATATGTATTTACAAATAGTAACATCAACGAATAACAGATAACGTAACTCTTCTGCCTATCAGAAAGCTTCTAAAGAACGTCATTCAAAATCTGTCCGTATTTACCGGGATTTACCCTAAAATAATTACCAGAATCTGCTGAAACGCCAAATGTGCCATCTTGAGCAAAAACACTTGATTTGCACTGAAGTAGAAAAAAACAGATGCATTTTTTCATTTCACCATTCTCTGTGCTATTGTATTTATATAAGAGAAACTACGAATCTAATTGCCCGTTCGTGCCTGAAATAATGCACGGAAGGGCACCTGAGGTCTTCCTCCACCAGTAAAGCTGGAACGTCGCGATATGACCTATACTGTGTCGATGTGACGTAAAACCCAAAACAAACAAACAAAAAACCAATTTAATCATTCAATGTCAACCAACTATACAACATATCAAAAGTGAAGAAAAAAAAACATTACATATTTTAAATACTTACTTTATTGACAAGTTTTGCTCGTCTACGATAACAAAATAAAATCACATTATTTATGTCATAATTATACTCTCTATACTCTGTATAATATAAAGCTCTACAATAAAACAAGAGCTGTCAGTAGGGCAGGATGCTCTACTATTCTAAGTGCTTGAAAACCAAAACTGTGACCTTCATTAAGAGTGTTAACTTCATTAAAAGTGTTAACAATCTGAATTAGGGGAACTGAAGACCAATTACGGACTGACCACTATTGAGCATTATTGCTCTCAATTAAGTTGAAAAAAATAAAATAAGCTGTACCTATTTGCCACCTTATAATGACACTGTTTCAATGTAGTCTCAACCTCCGTCATCAATCCAGCATTAATGTACATCTCTACCAAAATCTACCAGAAAAATACATCATTAGGTCATTACAAAAACAAACACTCTTTATGACTATTATGTAGTACAGTAGGTAGCATTTTTGTACACAAATGAGTATTTGAAATGCAAAAGACTATATAATAAAGACAATACACTCATACTCTATATGAACAATATTATAAATAATTAAACAGATTTGATAATCAGATAATTGCAAGATTATACTTAAGAGGCCTTTTTGGTGAACAAGGTTTCAGAAAATTCATACATGCTGTTATTTAAAGCTTGGAATTATTGATACAAAAATTAATTTTTCCGATTTGGTGAGAAATTTTAAATAAATTACAATACACCCCTGAAGCAAAAAGGCATTTTGTTCAGATACAAGAAGGAAGTCATTAAATGGTGCATATTTCCAGATGACCAGGTAGAATATAAAGTAATCAAACTTTCAAAGTATGAAATATATCAATAAATTACGAAACTATGTAACGCTTTTAAATTTGTCTACATTTGTTAAGTTTACCACAACATTTCAAACCAGCACATACCAGAATAAGGGAAAATTTTAGTAACTTGAAACATTATAGGTTAATTAAATGGATTGCAAGCGTCCCCTGCCATATGCAGGTTTATTTCACTCAACAATATCATAAATATTTTAAACTTTAATGAAATTTTCATAAGAAATTTGTATGAACCTGGCAGCATGCTGCTTTGACAATATACACATATAAAAATATCACTATTTAATGTTCAATTAACATGAATACCAACCTGCCAAAAATACACGGAGGAGTGTTCATCAAGAGATTTAGCCACGCCCCCTGTATTGTCTTGTAGGACATTACTAAACACATTAAACAGTTGCTTCACTTCTACTTCTCCGCCAAAATCTGTCATTAACTACAATAATTCAAGTAAAGTAGCTGTAAGAATTTTTTCTTATCTTAACATGATCATAAAGTATACCACTACTTAAGCACAAAGTACATCAAGTGCTTCATCTAAAACCATTCAGGTAGCTGAATAGGTAAAGCATTGGACTGTGAATCAGGAGACCTTGGTTTGATACCTGGACAGTGCAGGTCACTTTCATTGTGATTGATCATGAAATGCTTTCTATGGTCATTCACACTGTACCTCTGCTCTGGCATGTACAGAAGTTCTTTGCAAAAGTGAAAGTATCTAGTACTGGTTAACTGCTTGCTATGACAGCAAACTCAGGAACAGTGCAGTGGTTCAACTGTGCTCTGGTAAATTCAAAGTGGCTAACTGCCATGATGCGGAGGGTAAACTACCATCACCCCCCTCCCATGTGGCCTCGCATAGTTAAAACTTGGCCTCTCTATTAGGAAAAGTTACATAATACTAGTACGCAGTTTTCACCTCATCTAGACATTCCATCAATTCATTATGCATATTGGCATGTACTGTACACACTATCTGCTGCTTTGCACACCAAAACTTTAATGGTAGTGGGACATCTAAAATATACAGTGAAGTAATAAATATTACAGAATAAAACACAAATGCTGTGCTTCAAAAGCAGACAATTATGTCATGGTTTAAGAATAGACAAATTGTAATCATTCATGAGCAGAAAAACTGTAATGCTTAACAAGCAAAAGAAATATGTATTGGTCCAAGAGCAGGAAAAAATGTAATGGATAAAGAGAAGACAATTATGTTTAAAGAGCAGAAAAATATGATGGTTCTAAACTCAGATCTCCAGAATTTGACAAGTAAGAAACCAGCTCTGAATGTAGAATGACCTATGAAAATTTTGAGATTCGAGACTGAACACAAAAAGAAAAGTTTCATAACAACAAGGTCAGTACATACATATATAATACTGTATACTTTACCTTCTTTTTTGATATAGCACAGAATTGTGTATTCATGTTTGAACAGGGCAAGTCTTTTCTCCCAACATGTGGTTAGTATAGCTCGAGAATGAACAGCAGACGCCAGCGCTGCCCAGTTGTCTACATTCTCTGATAAATAGAAACAATATTGAAGGCTGTAAATTCACTTAATTTTGAAGGGCATGAACTATAGTTGCTTTGTCACAGGACATTTTCGTGGGTTCTTAAATTTAAGGATTGTCTATTTGTGCTGAGAAATGTACATATAATGCATAATAATATTACAGCAGACAAAAATGAAATTTTGTTGGATCTTAAATTTGTGCATACATGCATCTTGACTTGTTCATGAAGACTATGAAAAATAGTGTCCCGTGTATAATAATGATTTTGCAGTATTTGCAACATATTCATTCATACTTTATTTGTAATAATATCTCAATGCAAATATATGTATATATCTATCACTCACTCTGTCATACATGTAGGGAAGTGATGAGTTGGGGAATAGGATTAGTCACAAATTCACATGGCAACTTACTGGCACAGGGCGTCAAGTGAATTTTGGTCCAAAAAATATAGGACTTACCTCTGAAATATAGGACCATTTTCCAAGAAATATAGGAATATATAGGACAAGAAAAACAAAAAACTTCTGAACTTAAAACCTCCTTCTCCACTCACTACACTCTCCTTATATTTACAACTTACAACATATACTATAACTTTCAATAAAATTATGACAATTAACAAAATGACATACAGTCGAGACTGCCTTAGCGACCCCCTGATTTCAACGACTCCCTGTCTTATCCGACCTTGTTTCAGTCCTCCCAACGTATTTTCCTATATAAATGGTCTGAATTATACGACTCCCTGTCATATGTGACAAGCGACCCTAATTATCTGGTCCCAATGCATTGCTTTGTCTGATTTAAACGACTTTCACACCTTTTAATTGTCCGTTAATCAGATAAATAATACCTGTTTTATCACCCAGAGAGACAAAATAATTAAGTCCAATTAAAATCCAGTAGTCAGTACTCTTCAAACAAACTCTACACACCTCTGATTACATGTATATATGCAGGTGTCAAGTGACGTAGCGTCTGGAGTGTCCGTAGCGTCTGATGCAATCGATGTGTGTTAACAAATTGAGGTCACAGGTGTTATGAACATAATGAACTGAGTAAACTGGATTAAGACTTGTGTTTAAAAAATTATGGAGTGCCAACGGAAGATTTTTTTAGGCAGAATTTTTTATTTTTATTTTACCTTTCTATGGTAATAGGGAAAAATGTTGATACCAGACTAATATGGATATGTTTTTAAAAGTATGATATTTATTTTAAGGATTTGAATGCATCAAATTCAAGTTTATTTTGTACCATAATGATTCAATATTAAACTAATACAAAAAATAAAATAAAATTTTATATGATATAAATACTATTATATTTGCTTTACAGGGATTCTTATTTTATTTACATCAAATATTTAAAGTACCTAATATAAGTATGTGTATTTGCAATTGGTTAGATATTATTCCTTCACACAGTTATACAGTATATATGTTAAGTCACAATGATATATAGACAGATAGATGGTATTGAAATTTTAATTTTCTATGAGACTGTATTAAGAGACTCCCTGTCATATGTGACCTTTTTCTCAAGATCCCTTGGAAAGTCACATATGACAGTCTCGACTGTACTTGGAAAACTAACATAAACCAGTAAATACAGCACTAGGTACTGTTCTGTATGTGTGTCCATTCATATGATAATATATACTTATAATAATCAAAGTAACTGTTAAGCTTATAATCATTTAACCAGGAATACTAACTACATTTGCCTACTGTAACATACATTTGACAACCTGTTTGATTAAGATGTTTGTGTTGCAACCATAAGAGGTCAAGTGCTGCTAAATTAATCACACTTTTACTTCTTGAAATTAATTTTTGAGATGAATGTGGCACACTTCATTCCCCAAATGACTTCGGCATGTAATACTTTTTGATTAGGTAAAGCATAAGTAAGTTTTGGTGAACCAACAGCAGTATCTAAGATTCCTGACCTGACCTTTCACTCTCTGCTGTGTTTGAAGATGCACTAGGCTGTACTTTGAATGTTAGTTTAGTCTGTTTTATAGAAATAATTTTCTCACTTAATTTCTTGTGTTATGACCCTTTTGCATGTTGTAGTATTTGATTGATTACACAGTACACTATTGTCACATTTGATTTCTGTCTTACAAAGGGTACACCTAACAATATGATCTAAACTACCTTTAACACACAATGACTGTAACTGTTTCAATTTGATTTAATTTCAGTTCAGCACTGTTCCTGAAACTTTGTTTTATCCATAGGCATGTTAACCCTTGTAAATGAATTTTAAACATCTACTTTGTGTGAAGTCAAAACATGCTTATTTTATATTTATAAAGAGACTGTGTAGCAATTATAAATATTTTCTAATATCATATTTGTGCATAGAATATATAAACCTGAAACAGAATACTTGTTAAAATGTTAGCTTCACCTGCAAGAATGTTTGACTTCCCTCAAACAAATCCAAAAGGTAAAACTGGACTAGCTGGGCTGGGCAGGGTCGCTACACTTGAAAGAAAGACGGATTAATAAGTAAATGTTGCACATATACAAACAGATGACACAAACTGCAGCTTGTAATATACAGTACTGGTTTTGCTCCATAATCCAATATTTCTTGCTTACCCTTAAATATAGGAATTATAGGAATTTCACAGAAATATAGGAATTTTCAAGGAAATATAGGAATTTATAGGAATTACTCCAAAATATAGAAATATATAGGAAACTTGACGCCCTGCTAGTGGCATTATTGCTGGAGGAAGACCTGAAGTTTCTCTACATGCAATATTTCAGATTAGTCCCTAGCAGAATAGGAAACCGTGACAGTGATGGGAAAGTTTTTTCAAGAAAGGCGTTATTCTATTTTTCTAAAAATTCTAAAAATTTCTAAAATAATCATCATCATCATCTAGTTCGAACTTAAATGAAACATTTCTGAATTTTAGATACAACATGTCATTATGACCATTAAAATACAAAGATTGAGTTTAAACAAACCTGGATTATAACGGACAGCTCTCTGTGCTGTAAGGAAAGCATCCGCAGAATTCTGTCCATTACCATGGCAACCTGCACTCAACTCACTAATTGTTAATAATATAAAGTCAGTCTGAAAAGAAAAAGGAAGGAAAAACATGGCATTAAGTTTCTTATTCCACAAAGAGCAATGACTTTGTGAAAATCAATGCATAGAGTTCGTATTACACAACAAATAATGATTTTGTGAAAATCCATGCTAGATTATGGGAAAACTCTACATGATTGTGGAGAGAGATCTTAAATAAAAATCTAAATCAGAAGTTTTTTAAGTTTGCTTGAACAATGGGAGAATGATTCAGTTATAATTATTGACAGAAATTTTAGATGTCTTGGTTAGGAACAGAAAATTACAATTATTTAAATGCTCCCCTTAAAAACACACTAAACTACAGTAGAACTTCTATGCGTCGGACTTCGATGAGTCGACTTTCTCGATGTGTCAAAGTAAAATGAAAGTCCTGTATTTTTATCGCTTTATATTCCTTATAAAACCTATGCATGTGTCAAAATTTAATGAGTTGAAGTCCCAATGTGTCAAAATTTTCCTTTCAACTTTAACTTACCAAAGTTTTACTGTGTCTAAAAAAACCCATCTAAGTTTACTTTTAAATTAGCACTATTAAGATTATATGCTGAAAGTCACATACCTGTTTTCCTGGGCTTTCTACAAGCAGGGAGTTTCTAGCGGCTTGTGCTGCACTTTTTCCTAACTTCGGGAAAAACTTCAGAAGTATTCCTGATAATAAACGCCATAGTTTTGGCTGGCAAGGATCTTTGTGTAGTAAATGTTGCAGCTTTCTTTTTACATCAATAAGATTTCCCTGAAATTACACAGTAAGACTTTTATCACATGACTTATGATATAGAACCATTAATGATTTCATTTTTATTTCACACCTTATTTAATGTAACAAATTACCTTCTAGCATTTGCACCTGGCAATGTTCAAAAATAACTTATTATTGGGTATAATAATTGCTTTCATTTCCCAAGTTACAGAAAAATCTGTATCAAATGCATATTGTACTTCACCTAGCTCATTTTCATAGTTCAAAAATCTGTATTTCACTCTATCTAGCCCTGCTATCATAATCCAATAGTTTCATATCAAATCCATATTGTACTTGAAGTTACTGTTTCTTTAATATCTTACAAAAACACAGTTGACGTTGAGTGTTTTCTTTAATTCTATATGTTCTCCTACAGAATAAGTAAGGTGTGTTATTCATTGAAATTATAACATTACCCTATGCAGTATTATAATAAAAACACATTTCAACAAATTATTACCTTGATCATGTCTACACCGATTGCCAGCAATGCTACATCATACAGATGACTAGGATTATCTCCCAGACTGGAGAGTTCATGAAGTGCAGCCTCAGCTAGGGTCAGGTCAGACTGTATCAGTCCCAGGGCACACAGGGCCTTTAAACCAGGAATACATGGTTCAGACAACTGTGAGCTAAAAATAGAATCATTTCAGATAAGTTCAGATATGTGTAAGAGAGAGTGATCACAAAACTTAAAACTGTATATATAGGGCTTTAATCACCTGGTTCTTTTATTGGCCGCTACTTTTGACACTTCATGTCATACTGTGCCAAAAGGAAAGTGTTGATACCAGAAAAAACTTTGTTCTCAGTTCTGTATGACTAGTATTGTAACAATGTGCCGTTAAACCTATATCAACAATTAATAATTTTTTTGGTATGTGCAAAACTTGAACACAAGGTGTACGGAACCAAACATCATGTTGACACAAGACTACATTTGTATATAATGATCACTATATGACTGGTAAGCTACAAAATTATTTTAAAAAAAGTAACCTAAAAAATTTTCAATTCTAAACGTTACTACAAATTTATTTTTAAATCACTTGACGACTCTTTAAATTACTGTGAGCTTTTTGTGAACACCATATAGATGGCTGTTATCAGTGGTAGGTCAACAATTTCTTGTTAATACGAGGGGTATTTATAAGTATTAATCAGTGTGAATTTTTACCGTTAATTTGAGCGTAATTGGTACATATTAAACTGTAAATACATGTATGGTCCTCTACAATTATATGCACAAGTACACCATGAAATACCTACGCATGAGCGCATGTTCACTGGAATCGACTACGGTCAGGTACACTGCATTTGAAAATGGCCGAAAAAGAGAACAATTTTCAAGAAAAGCAAAGAGTGTATTGTAAAATTCGCGCATGGCTTGGTGTTGCTGCACCTGATATTAAATCAGACTTAGACAAGGTTTAGGGGATAGTGCCCTATCGTATTCCACAGTTAGAAGATGGGCTCAAATTTTTACCTCCGGTAGAGAGACTTCAAAAGATGAGGCCCGTCCTGGTCGTCCAGTCACAACAATGACTGACGAAAATATTGCTGCTGTTAAAAAAATTGTTGAAGATGATGCTCGCTGTAAAGTGGAGGAGATAGGTGATTTATGTGCCATTAATTCGTCAACTGTTTTTCAAATATTGACTCGCGTTTTAAATTACGCAAGGTTTGCGCCCGGTGGATACCCCACCTTCTCACTGAGGCCCAAAAACGGGAGCGCATGCGAATTGCCTCACAGCTGCTCGATAGGTACAAAAATGCTGACCAAAACCGTATGACTGAAATTGTGACTGGTGATGAAACATGGGTCTTTTTTATGAGCCTGATGGAAAAGGAAAAAATAAGGTGTGGGTCAGTGAAAATGACGAATGGCCCAAAATTGCCCATAGAGCTCGCACCTCAAACCGCATTATGTATGCATTATTTTTTGATTGCCAGGGAATGGTGGCTCGAATTCCTATACCAGAAGGCAGGAGTGTTACCGGAATCTTTCATCGAGATTCAGTTCTTTCTGCTGTTGTCAGTCACTATACTACAGCCCATCCCCGTACCAGCGTACGCGGAATCAAACTCCTGCATGACAATGAACCTGCCCACAAGTCAGTGGTGGTAAAGTTGTATATTAGCGACAATAGCATTGAGACTTTACCACACCCTGCATACAGCCCAGATCTTACTCCATGCGATTTTTGGTTGAATCCTTACATCAAGAACTACATGAGAGGTCGCCCTTCTGAATCTCGGCACGCCGTCGGCAGCGCCTTTTTCCAGTGTCTAAACACTGCACCCAAAGAGGCCTACATATGGTGGTCATAAAACCTCACACTTATTTAAGAGTGGTTAAGAGATCTAAAATTAGAAATTAAAATCTCTTACATTACAATATTATAGCATTACCTTTGGAATAGATTTGTTTTGGCATTACCAAGGTCACCAAATTTGTATAACACCATGGCAAGGGCAGTAAGTACAGCTGACTTATCTCCATCCGTCTGTGCCATCTCTGCTGCTTTAGTATATACTAGGGGGAAAAATAGTACTAATTATTATATGAGCCGTGTCATGACAAAACAAACATAATGGGTTTGCGACCAGCATGGATCCAGACCAGCCTGCGCATCCGCGCAGTCTGATCAGGATCCATGCTGTTCGTTTACAAACCCAAAAACAAGTAGAGAAGCTGATAGCGAAGAGCATGGATCCTGATCAGACTGCGCGGATGCGCAGGCTGGTCTGGATCCATGCTGGTCGCAAACCCATTACGTTGGTTTTGTCGTGACGCGGCTCATTATTACTATTGACACAAACTGTATTAAAATACATAAACCTATTTCAATTGCATGATTAGTTTACTATAAAGATATGTATGAACCTTAATCACAGACATATGCTTGAAAAAAATAAATGTTTAAAATAGTGAAATCTGCATGGAAATTTTCAGTTATATACATGTACACGGAAAGGTGATACTTTTTAACTCTTATTCCCATGTATGGAGCAGAAATCATAGATTTATTAAAAGAAAAGTTATCTATTTAATTCTAAGTATGAGACAACAATATAATCATGGAATGCATTTAGGTGGGTTTTTTTTTCATTTAAAAAAGAAGCATGTTTCAATCCTTCAGAAGTCAGTATAAATATATTGATATAGTAGATACCTTGAAAACTCTCCAGTTCTAGATGACCAGTTTTATACAATACTAGTCCCATATGGCACAAGTCTACCAATGTACATACACCTGCTATCTTCTCATATACAGAACAAGCTTGCGGATAGTCTCCTGATTTACTAAAATAAATCATATCAATAAATACTAGTGTGTGGGCATGGCTGAGTGGTTAACAGCCAAGTGGTAAATGGCTGAGTGGTTAACAGTTAAGTGGTAAATGGCTGAGTGGTTTAGAACTTCGTAGCATGAGTGAGTGGTTAATGACTAAGTGGTTAATGACCTAGTGGTAAATGCTCAAGTGGTAAATGATTAAGTGGTTAATGACCTAGTGGTAAATGCTCAAGTGGTTAATGATTAAGTGGTTAATGACCAAGTGGTTAACAAGTCAGACAAGTAATGTCAAGATCACTATCCACATGGGTTCAAACTTCCTAAGGGGCAAGCTGTTGTTTCCTTGAGCAAGAAACTTTACACTCATTGCACAGTACTGGCTGGTTAGAAAATTGAAGCAAGAGTGTGCCTATATAATTATAGTTTTCTACACAATCAAACTAAAATAAAATGCCACCAGAAAGGAGAAAGGCCAGTAGTTTAGCTTTTTTGTTTAAACATATTTTATGGCATAAGATAAAATGTACATTACATGGTACAAGAATCTGTCACTGCTCTAGAAATGACTTTTATATAATAATTTGCACAAGTAGGCACCAAAGTAGAACCAACTATATTCTGTAAGCTAGCTCGATAGCTTTCTCACATGAAAGAATCTAAATTCTCTGCGTTCAAATATATTGTTAAACAGTATCAATAAACCTATTTCAGAAGCTGCATGATTTTAAAGATGTATGTACTTACTATAAAAGTCTTGCATAGTTACACATAACCTCTGTCAGATAGGTTTTGTCATCTTGTTGTTCAATAAGAAAAACAGCTCTGAAATATACATTTGTTACATTAACATAATTCAAAAACTAATTTTATATAATAATAGCATTGGAGAATAAGAACATTTGTAAATTTGTTGTTTTGTTTTTGTTGGGTTTTTGATTTTGTTGAAAGTTGAGTCATACTAAAATTGTAATAGTAATATGGTGACTTCAAGCTTAAATTTTGGTAGATGTTCTCAGAAGTATCTCCTCGCCTAATTTTTGGGTCTAAGCAGAAACCTGAGTAGAACCAGCGACCATCTGTATGCTAGCCCATTAACTTCCTCGGATCAAAGATTCCAAAATCCCTAGCAGGAACTGTACAGAAGTGGTGATATGGCTTGTGCAGTATCCACACAGGAAGGCCAAGATAATAAAACATTTTTGCTAAGCTCTGTCTCAAATTTCAGGACTTTCATTGGTCAAAATATGTTGTGTCAGCTACTGACCAATCGAATACATCCCTGAGATCAAAATTTGACCCGAGATAATTTCTTTATAATTAACCTCGAACTAAAGTGTTATACAAAGGCTTTCTTAATATGAAGGTTGTATGAGTAACATATGTGTTTGTCATGTGTGTATGTGAGCATGTGTATGTTATACATGTATGTGAAATATCGCTTTACAATGCTAAATAATAGTAAATGGGTGAATCTTGTTTGAATTAATGTAAAGGGCCCAATTGTTCTTGTATAACTTACTGGGCATGTGATCATTAATCAAATCTATTTAGTCTAATGTTTTACACTATGTTTTAAACGCCCATTAAAAGGCCCCTCTCTTTCTTACAGTATCACTTGTTTTATGTCGTCATTAATTAAAAGGATTTAATGTTTTAGGCTGGCTGTGTTTTAAGGCTCATTACTTACTGTTTAAACTGTTGTACAGCAGTCCTTTAAATGTTTTACGCTAACTATTATTTTACTTTAAAGGCCCATTACTTACTGTTTAAACTGTTGTGCAGCAGTCCTGTATAACTTCTGTCTCTCCAGCAGTAGACCATACATGTTATATGCCACAGCATTTGTCTTTACACGATCTGATATACAAACATAATTCTTCATTAAACACTTTAATATTCTAGCTTAAAGAGATAAAGGTCTTAGTATTTTAAATTTACTTACTGATATAAACCCCTATATAGTTACCCTGCGATAAAATTATTTCAGGCATATACCAGTAATCAAATAAAACTTTTGATAGCAAAACTTTTTACTTGTAAAACATGAAGCAATTCATAGCTGAGTGGTTATCATTTCAGACTAGTACTAGTTTTGCTAGCTGCATGGGTATAAACCTCATTGAACGCAAGTAGTTAATTCCATGTGCAAGAAACTTTACACTTATTACTAAGCATTGGTTAGTTCCAGGAATGGACTAAAGAGTGTTTCAATAAACTTACAGCTTCCAACACAGGTGAACTCGAACAACTTCGAAAAAACTAAGCAAGTCACTGTTCCTCGTCAGATTTCAAACTTAGGACAGTTTGTTACCTTAGAACAATAACGAGTTAACTCCTATTAAATTTAGAAGGACTTAACCTGACTTAACTAAGGTGAGGAGTTGGAGATATCATGAAAAATGAATTTTCACTTTGAAATTATATGACAAAGCAATGTTGTTATCAAAGGATTATATGTAAAAACATAGACAGAAAGGTCCAGTAACCCAGAAAGGTCCAGTAACCTTTCTATCAAATTTGTTGACAAATTTACTGTATATATCCCTACCTGTATATCTTGCTAAAGCATCTGAAGCAGACGGCACAGCTCCCATCTGTTCTATAGCATATGTATACATGTACGTGTCACGTTTATCTACATTCTGTAACATTGTACACACCCAATGACCATATCCTAAAGCACCCTCCAGCTGTAACATATATAGTTACCATGGTAACAGTGGTTGTTGTTGTTGTTTAAAAAACATTCAGAAATACAGTGGAACCTGTCTAATACAAACTTGTTCGGACCATAAGAATAGTCTGGATTAGAAAGGTTTCCGGATTAGAAAGTTTTTTACATGTTTGTAGATGTGAAGAGCAGAACAGTTTAAGGAAATATTTTGATATTGTAATTCCTGAAACTTTCTTTACATTTTCCAAAAGCCAGACAAGACCATTGCATAAATTCAGGTATGCCTCCTTAGCTCATTAAAAAGAGCATGGGACTACTTATCATAGGGTCCCTGGTTTTATCCTCAGACTAGGCAGAATTTCTTTGTGACAATTGACCTCAGATATTGAGCCTGATAGTCATTTGTCTATCATTGATGAATCAGGAATTATCTGGTTATAATTGTCGGTCATTTGCAAAGATATTGGTAATTACTGGTTAAAGTTATCTAGGAAAGCCAGTTGGGTGTATCAACTGCCAAGATATGACCAAAGATGTGTAAAAATCTTGTAAAACCCCGAAAAACAAACAAATGTAAATTCATGCAGATTAGAACTTCAAAAACTTTTGTATGATGTCATAAGCTTACATGATTTCCTAGTTCAGTTGTATGTCTGTATAAGTCCATGGCATCTTCGTGACCTACGACCTCTGCTATTATAGCCTGACCTATCCAACATGAGACATAGGAGGGTTCCAAGCTCTGTGCTATCTTAAATGCCTCATGGGCTAGCTGGAAAAAAAAATTTAACTTTTTTCCAACAAGTGTAATTACCATATATGGCATATTTATAAATACATATATTATACAGATGTTGGTTTAAAATGATTTCATATGAAGAGTAATCTGGATTAATTCTCAGCAATATTTAAATGCACAATGAGAGCTGCGGACACCTACGCCTGGGTGAGTACAAAAGCTCTCTATATTCTTTGAGTAGTCAAGCTAAAAATGGCAAAATTTCTATTTGACACATCATTTCAAACTGACATTGCTATCGAGTTCATAAAATTAATTTAAAAGATTATTTTTGACATGTTATATGGCACAGTATAAACATTTGTAAAGTTATATAACCCAATCTGCTATAACCATATTAAGTCAAAAGAAATTTATAATACTGTATAATCCCTTTCTTTGAGGAAAATAAAAATACAATCATTTTATTTACAGCAACCACATATATAGATGGTATTATGATAATATGAATGACATGATTATCCAGTAAAAACTGATATAATAAATATTCAGTACACTTAATTTTTATAACCTCTTACTTCAACATCAGACCATCCTCTTAGCTCAATAAAGAAAGCACGATTTGTAATCAAGGGGTCACTGAATCAATCCCTGACTAGGCATGATATTTCTGCAATAACTGGTTTAGACATTAAGCCCAATGGGCATTTGTTTCTCGCCGCTGATTCAGAAATCATGTGACATTAGCAGTTGGTCACTCACGAGGAAATTGATAATTACTGGTTAGTTATCCAGAAAAGCCAGTAAGGTGGATCAACAAGGATACAACCAAAATTGTGCTAAAATTGGACAATACCCAAAACATACCTTAACATTATCCTTGCTCAGGTATAGAGCTGCCAAATTAGTCCAAGCTATCACATTCTGTAATAAAACAAACATATTCCATGTATTTAATGATTTTTATTAAGATTGAATCATGTTATATTTTATATAAATGTATCCCTTCTTTACCTGTGTATTTGTCGGAGGGCTTAAAAAATCATAATTTCTAAGATGAAGGTGGAAGTCTGACAACAGAACAGCAGTGACCATTGGGTCACATTAAATAAGTGACTCTTTATTTTCATTAGTCCGCTAAAATCTAGACATGTGCAACCACTTTTTAAATTTTACCAAGCCCACAGTTTATGAGTTTCATGGCTGCCAAACAAATTGCATACCACTGAAAGGTTGTTTTTTTTCAATTTTCAATAGATTTTTTTGAAATGTTGTGATTTAAAAGAAATATATTTTCTTCCAAGATAGAAACCCTTTCCAATCATGTTGAGTGACAGCAAAGTCCCTGAACAATAAACAAACAGAGTTTTTCATCTGACTTCAGTTTGTTTATTGTTTGTTGGATTCACTGACTGGTCAGTCCCTTTAATGGTAGGAGAAACAAAGCAGTGTCTCCTACAGTGAAACCACAGCAGACCAGCCCTCTCTAGATCACCTCTTTACAACGCCAGTATTAATTCTTTCCAACGTAACACTTCACAATAAAGTCAATCTCTCTATAGCAATTACACCTCATAGCAAATAACAAAATAAATTTGTCTCAAAATGATGTTGCTCTGTGGAAGAAGTACTGTATTTCTAAATTAGTGCTTTACTTTCTTAAATTGCCTTAAAGAGTATTAAATTTATTTAATAATCTGTAATTGGAAGAATATTATTATTTTTTTTATTATAATTGGGTTCCATTGCACAAACACAGTACATATGGCAACTTTCCAGCTTTACTGATGGAGGAATACCTCACGCGTCCCTGTGTGTTATTTCAGGCACAAATGTGCACCAGAGTACAACCACCAATGTTCTGTAAGCCAGCTGGATAGCTTTCTCACATGAAAGAATCCAAAGATGTTTCCATGGCCCCAAACTTCACCAGTAAGAGGGTTAAATATTTAACATAGCCAAACTTCAACATTCAGTAAACAGGTTAGAGAAAAACTTACATTATGTTCAACTTGAATTGACTTGATAAAACAATGCTGTGCTAACTCTGGCTTTTTGTAAACTAAAAGAAACACAAAAATACAGGTCAATGCTAAAAATTACATAATTCTGGTAATAACATAAAATTTAGTGTATAAAGGTTTTAGATAGTTCTGCTCTGGACAAAAATTTAAGCATAACAAGAGGGCCATGATGGCCCTGAAGTCGCTCACCTGTATATAGGCCCCCGGACCGGGGCCAGTTTAAACCCCAGGGCTTTTATTTGAACAAACTTGGTAGACACCTATTATAAGATGTTTCATGCTAAACATCTAAGGTCCAGCTGGTCAAGTTTTTTCTTTACACATATAGTTAAAAACAATGACACACCTGGGGCAGGGCCAGTTTTGACCTAAGGGCTTTTATTTGAACAATCTTTGTAGACACTCACTAGAAGATGTTTAATGTTTAGTATCTAAACTCTAGCTATTTGGTTTTTTTTCAAAGAAGATTTTTTAAGTTTTTGCTATACACATATAAGAAAAATCAATGTCCCCCGGGGCGGGGCCAATTTTGATCCCAGGGCTTTGGTTTAAACATATTTTATTTAGAATATTTGTACATATGTAAATAACAACATAACAATAATTATAGATTTTGGCCGAAAGCAGAAGCTTATAGAAGCCATTATCTAAAAGCCATTATCTTTACACATATAGTTAAAAACAATGACACACCTGGGGCAGGGCCATTTTGACCAAAGGGCTTTTATTTGAACAAACTTTGTAGACACTCACTAGAAGATGCTTCGTGTTTAATATCTAAACTCTAGCTATTTGAGTTTTTTCAAAGAAGATTTTTTTAAGTTTTTGTTATACACATATAAGGAAAATGAATGACCCCCGGGGCGGGGCCAATTTTGACCCCAGGGCTTTTATTACAACAAACTTGGTAGACACTCACTAGAAGATGTTTCATGCTTAGTATCTAAACTCTAGCTATTTGTTGTTTTTCAAAGAAGATTTTTTAAGTTTTTGTTATACACATATAAGGAAATTCAATGAACCCCGAGGCGGGCCAATTTTGACCCCCGGGCTCTTATTTGAACAAACTTGGTAGACATCTATTAGAACATGTTTCATGCTAAATATCTTAGCTCTAGCTCTTTGGGTTCTTTAAAAGAAGATTTTTTAAGTTTTTACTATATGCATATAGGGAAAATCAATGACCCCCTGGGGCGGGGCCAATTTTGAACCCAGGGCTTTTATTTGAACAAACTTGGTAGACACCCATTAGAGGATGTTTCATGCTAAATATCTTAGCTCTAGCTCTTTGGGTTATTTAAAAGAAGATTTTTTAAGTTTTTACTATACATGTATGCATATAGGGAAAATCAATGACCCCCTGGGGCGGGTCCAATTTTTACCCCAGGGCTTTTATTTGAACAAACTTGGTAGACACCCATTAGAGGATGTTTCATGCTAAATATCTTAGCTCTAGCTTATTGGGTTCTTTAAAAGAAGATTTTTTAAGTTTTTACTATATGCATATAGGGAAAATCAATGACCCCCAGGGGCGGGGCCAATTTTGACCCCAGGGCTTTCATTTGAACAAACTTGGTAGACACTCACTAGAAGATGTTTCATGCCAAATATCTAAGCTCTAGCTCTTTGGGTTTTTTAGAAGAAGATATTTAAAGTTTTTTCTTTTGGTTGCCATGGCAACCAGAGTTCTGCATGGAATTAAATTCTTTGAACAATTTTCAAAGGTGACCACCAAAGGAACATTCCTGTGAAGTTTGGATGAAATTGGCTTAGTGGTTTATGAGGAGATGTCATTTAAAGTAAAAGTTTACGGACGGACGGACGCCGGACGAAAAGCGATCACAAAAGCTCACCCTGTCACTTTGTGACAGATGAGCTAAAAAATTATAAACTTATGCAAAACTGGCCTCTCTGGGTAACTAACCAAAATTACCAATTTCACAAGTGACTAATACGACACAAAATTCAAATCAGCATGAACATTAGGCTCAATGTCCGAAATCAATTTTCACAAAAGTTTTTTGCCCCGCCCAAGGAACAAGCAACCCATGGTTACTTTAGCGATGCTCTCTCTACTGAGTTAACCAGGCAAAGTTTTGGAGTTATGCTGCAAGAAAAACAACAACCATACCTTTCAAGCAAGCTACATATCCTAAAGCATTCCAGTGTTTATGATTGGCAGGTTCAAGTTGAATAGCTTTCTTTAAAGCTTGCACAGACTTCTCAGCCAATGATCTGGCAGATTCCCCATCACTACACTGTGATTGGTGGATGAAGTTGACCCCAAGGTCATGCCAGAGAGATGAGCATTCTGGGAGAACTTTAAGAGCTCTAATATAACATCTAGATAAAGAAAGAAATTGAAATGTACCCGTACCATTATAACTTTTCTTAATTAAAACTCATATTTACTTATTTTGATTCAACAAGGCATGCTATTTTTTTTTTTTTTAAATTTTTTTTTTTTGGCCTTTTTTGTCATCTTTTGTCATGTCCATATGTCAGTAAGTAAAAAGAAATATGAAAAATCTCAAGTTAGGTGTTTTGATGATTAGTATATGATTATCATGTATAAGTTTTGTGACAAATAATCTAAGTTCTTCTGCATTTTGTAAGTATTGTTCACTTTGGAGGAAAAGAGTATGTTGTTGATTTCAATGACCATTTCAAATAGTTTATAACAAATATCTCAATATCCCAGACAGGCCAATTCCAAATATAAAAAAAAACACCTTTAGTGCATACCTAGAGCCTAATTCAAGTGTTTCATGTTTAGTAAGTACTCCTTTATCTGGTTTCTCGAACCTGTAATCAATAAATCAAATTATAAGAATACCTAAATGACATATTTCTATTGTTTTTTTTGTGTAATATTTGAAATACGAACAGGAAATAGGCCACTCATCAGTGATTCTACTCGTTGTGATAAATTGTATCTGAAATAAGGATCCATGGGGCACAGGCGTTCTTCCTTCACCAATAAACTTGGATAATTGTCTTATGATCTTAACAGATCTCAGTCAGTGTGACATATTTATGTAAACTAACCAAATATAAAAAGGGCTTGTTTTCCATAGTAATAGCTTTAATTCACAAACAAGAGGGCCATGATGGCCCTGAGGTCGCTCACCTGTATATAGGCCCCCCCACCCCCAGGCCAATTTTTACCCAAGGGCTTTTATTTGTTTATTTGAACAGACTTGGTAGACACCCATAAGAAGATGTTTCATGCTAAACATCTAAGTTCTAGCTCATTGGGTTTTTTAAAAGAAGATTTTTAAAGTTTTTACTATACACATATAGTTAAAAACAATGACACCCTGGGGCAGGGCCAGTTTTTGACCCCCGGGCTTTTATTTGAACAAACTTTGTAGATATTTACTTAAAGATGTTTCATGCTTAATATCTAAACTCTAGCTATTTGGGTTTTTTCAAAGAAGATTTTTATGTTTTAGCTATACAAATATAAGGAATATCAATGATCCCCCCCCCCCCCCGCGGGCCAGTTTTGACCCCAGGGCTTTTATTTGAACATACTTGGTAGACACCTATTAGAACATGTTTCATGCTAAATATCTTAGCTCTAGCTCTTTGAGTTCTTTAAAAGAAGATTCTTTAAGTTTTTGGGGCGGGGCCAGTTTTGACCCCAGGGCTTTTATTTTAACAAACTTGGAAGACACTCATTAGAAGATGTTTCATGCTAAATATCTTAGCTCTAGCTTATTGGGTTCTTTAAATGAAGATTTTTTAAGTTTTTACTATATGCATATAGGGAAAATCTATGACCCCTGGGGTGGGGTCAATTTTGACCCCAGGGCTTTTATTTGAATAAACTTGGTAGACATTCACTAGAAGACGTTTCATGCCAAATATCTAAGCTCTAGCTCTTATGGTTTTTTAAAAGAAGATTTTTTAAGTTTTTACTATATGCATATAGGGAAAATCAATGACCCCCCGGGGCGGGGCCAATTTTGACCCCAGGGCTTTAATTTGAACAAACTTGGTAGACACTCACTAGAAGATGTTTCATGCTTAATATCTTAGCTCTAGCTCTTTGGGTTCTTTAAAAGAAATTTTTTTAAGTTTTTACTATATGCATATAGGGAAAATCAATGACCCCCTGGGGCGGGGCCAATTTTGACCCCAGGGCTTTTATTTGAACAAACTTGGTAGACATTCAAAAGAAGATGTTTCATGCCAAATATCTAAGCTCTAACTCTTACGGTTCTTTAAAAGAAGATTTTTTAAGTTTTTACTATATGCATATAGGGAATATCAATGACCCCCGGGGCGGGGCCAATTTTGACCCCAGGGCTTTTATTTGAACAAACTTGGTAGACACTCACTAGAAGATGTTTCATGCCAAATATCTTAGCTCTAGCTCTTTGGGTTCTTTAAAAGAAGATTTTTTAGTTTTTACTATATGCATATAGGGAAAATCAATGACCCCCTGGGGCGGGGCCAATTTTGACCCCAGGGCTTTTATTTGAACAATCTTGGTAGACACTCACTAGAAGATGTTTCATGCCAAATATCTAAGCTCTAGCTCTTAGGGTTGTTTAAAAGAAGATATTTAAAGATTTTTCTTTCGGTTGCCATGGCAACCAGAGTTCTGCATGGAATTAAATTCTTTGAACAATTTTTAAAGGTGACCACCAAAGGAACATTCCTGTGAAGTTTGGATGAAGTTGGCTCAGTGGTTTATGAGGAGATGTCATTTAAAGCAAAAGTTTACGGATGGACGGACGAACGAAAAGCGATCACAAAAGCTCACCCTGTCACTTTGTGACAGGTGAGCTAAAAATAAGCATAAAAGTAATATTTCAACCAACATCGCATCTTATGTATAATGTGAAAGTATTACCTGAAGTTTTGTGCAGGTAAAACATGAAGAATAGTACAGGCATCACCTATAAGCTTCCACAAACATGACATATCTGGACGTATTGTAGCTGCCCTGAAATAGTTATAAATAGACAAGTATTTAAATATTCCACTTGTATAACTTGTATATGGTATTGAAATTATAGCATCTAATATTGATATTTCTATACATCAAATATATTTCCTTTTTTCTTTATTTTTGAATATTTCTTTACATCAAATACATTTCCTTTTTTATTTTTGAGTTATTTTACTTAGTTCAAACACTACATAATTGAAGCTCAATTGTAGAAATAAAAACTTGTAGCTTATTCGAACCACCTTAGAGTCTGCTTGCCTTCCTGGAACTAACCAGTACTGATATCATATGAGGGCACATTGTTGTGACCACAGTGTGGCTTGAACCCATAATCCCTGGGTTTAGAGGCAAACACTTTAACCACTAAGCTGCTAATCCACTTTAATCATCATTTTTCTTGTTGGATAAACAAATATTATCTTTAATGACCTTCAACATTCTATCTCATGGGATCCTACATTTCAATAGCTTCTGAGTCATTCAAGAACATAACAGGTAAAAAGTAGAAAAAACATGTCAATTTCCTTAACAAAGTGCAATTTATGAAAAAACACCAAATATGCCTAGGGATAATATACCCAACACTGATTCCCTAGGCCCTAGTGTGTGTTTTGTAGTCATATGACACAATAGAGTATCATAAATAACATCAACTTTTAACAAGAGCTGTCCGTAAGACAGCGCGCTCGACTTTTTTAGTGCTTGCCTATAATACAAAACATTGACAGTTAAGGGCCATAATTCAAATAAAATCTTTGACAGAATTACCTTCTCCTGGACATGTTTGGGAATCATGATTGTAAACAAGTATTCCAACTTTCAAATTAATATCTCAAACAGTTCAGTCAAAAAGTGGACTGGTACTAAAAACTTAACCAAGATTCTAAGTCGATAAAAGGCCTTAATTTTTAAAACAAATCCTTGACAGAGTTACCTTCTCTTGCGTACAGATGGGGGTAATGATGTGAAATAGCATTAAAAGTTCCAAAGCAATATCTCAAAGGGTTAAGGCAATAAGTGGATTTTACCCATATTCAATGTATTTTCTAAGTCAAAAAGGGGCATAATTCTGTCAAAAACCTTGACAGAGTTATGTCCTCTTGTCTGTTGATGAAGGTCGTGATGGTAAACAAGTATGGTCAGTTTCAAAGCAATACCTCCAATGGTTTTGAAATAAAGTGAGGTGGTACAAAAAACTTAACCAAGCTCAATACACTTTCTAAGTCAACAAGAGCTGTCAGAAGGACAGCGCGCTCGACTTTTTTAGTGCTTGCCTATAAAACAAAACTTTGACAGTTAAGGGCACACAAGACTTTAACTTGGAATTTTTTAGTACAAATCAAGAAACATTTTCACAGAGTTATCTTCTCTTGCTTACAGAAAGGTCTCATGATGGCACATAAGAACTCCAACTTCCAAAGTAATATCTCAAATGGTTAAGTCAACAAGTGGACAAGAATGAAAATCTTAACTGAGTTTCTAAGTCAAAAAGGGCCATAATTCAAATAAAATCCTTAACAGAATTACCTTCTCCTGCCCATGTTTTGGGACCATGATGGTAAACAAGTATTCCAACTTTCAAATTAATATCTCAAACAGTTCAGTCAAAAAGTGGACTGGTACTAAAAACTTAACCAAGATTCTAAGTCGATAAAAGGCCTTAATTTTTAAAACAAATCCTTGACAGAGTTACCTTCTCTTGCGTACAGATGGGGGTAATGATGTGAAATAGCATTAAAAGTTTCAAAGCAATATCTCAAAGGGTTAAGGCAATAAGTGGATTTTACCCATATTCAATGTATTTTCTAAGTCAAAAAGGGGCATAATTCTGTCAAAAACCTTGACAGAGTTATGTCCTCTTGTCTGTTGATGAAGGTCGTGATGGTAAACAAGTATGGTCAGTTTCAAAGCAATACCTCCAATGGTTTTGAAATAAAGTGAGGTGGTACAAAAAACTTAACCAAGCTCAATACACTTTCTAAGTCAAAAAAGGGCCATAATTCTGTCAAAAACCTTGACAGAGTTATGTACTCTTGTCTGTAGATGGAGGTTATGATGGTGAACAAGTATGGTAAGTTTCAAAGCCATACTTGTAATACTTCTGAAATAAAGTGGGGTGGTACGAAAAACTTAACCAAGGTGTGACGCCAACGCTAACGCCGACGCCGACGCCGACGCCGGGGCGAGTAGGATAGCTCCCCTTTTCATAGAAAAGTCGAGCTAAAAAAGGGCCATAATTCTGTCAAAAACCTTGACAGAGTTATGTACTCTTGTCTGTAGATGGAGGTTATGATGGTGAACAAGTATGGTAAGTTTCAAAGCCATACTTGTAATACTTCTGAAATAAAGTGGGGTGGTACGAAAAACTTAACCAAGGTGTGACGCCGACGCCGACGCCGGGGCGAGTAGGATAGCTCCCCTTTTCATAGAAAAGTCGAGCTAAAAAAAGCCAACCTGTAATTATTACCTGCTGAGATGTAACACGGCCAGCTGGGCAGTATCTCTGGCACGTCCATGGAAGAACTTCCATAATAAAGACTTGGCAACTAATACATAGCTTTCTCCAACACCTTAAGTGAAAACAAACAAAATTTCCTTAACTCTTGTAATTTCTTTGTACAGTGGATTTGCCTTGCTTCGAATCTTAAGCAGTTACTCAAATTTTGAAGTGTTTCAATATCAAAATACAAATATGAAGATGTCAACACTTTAATGCTTAGTCAGAAAGCAGAAGTCATAAAGTAATGACTTCATGTATAATCATTAGCAAAAGCTTATATTTACATAATACATATATAATTTTGAACATAATAAAAGCAGATTAACATTCATTCAACTTTTTCGCATAGAGGTTGTGGAGAATATATTGAGGGTGATTATACCAAACCTTTTAAAGCAGGAACATAGTTAGGTGACTTCTCTAATATAATCTTGTATTCTTCTATAGCTTCTGTATATGTACCCAATGTCTGCTTTATAGATGCCATTCTACAAAATTCAACAAACTCTTAATTTATAAAAGGTAACATGTTATGGTTACAAAATATAAAGCCAGTATAAAATTTACAATAAATCTTAATCTATTGCAGAATTTATAATGTGGAAAAACGCAGGAATCTATAAACCCAGCTATTACAAGTGAAAGTACAAGAAAGGAATAAATGACAAACATATTATCATACATGTGACATCCCGGCGGGATTTAAAAAAATCCCGATATTTCAACACTGATCCCGATTCCCGATATTACAGCTTGAATTCCCGATATTTAAAAAAAAATCAACATAAAAAAATCAAACACAGCACCTGTATCTAAAATGTAAACCGTGCCTCCGGGCATTGATTGTTATCTGTCCATATCCTAAATTATAGCGGATTAAATGTTGAGTCGCTAATTGACAGCAAGGTGACGTAATAAACAGTTCCAATACCCAAAGTTATTCTCACATGTTTAACTTATCACGTGTCGTGTGTCAGTCAATTGACCTCTTTTGTAATTTGGCAGTAGGTATTACACGCTACGTCATCAAAACTACCCTGTAAATTTACATGTATGAATTCGGCTCAACCTTTGATTTTCTTTGATTAGTGCCGCACTGATAAAGATAAAAGGTGAGCAGAATCATTTAAAGTGGATCATTCAAAACCTGTTTCAGATGTCTAATTAACCTATTTTTAGTGAGTGGGTAATTTTTTGTTTTGTTTAGGAATTACACAATCATCGAGGCAAAAATGTGGATTTAATTAACGGAACGATTCTTGCATTTATATTGAGTCTTTTACTTATGTTACGTTATTTAACTGTCATAGTCTTATGTTCATGAATAGTTGTTGCACGTTTTCAAATAGCTTGTGTTTAATTATTGAATGACTGAAAAGACATTATAATTCTTCAAACTGAAAATAATGAAATGTGAAAGTGTGACTGTTTTAGAAATAGCCAGTATGACTACACTTATTTATTTATCTATTTATTTATTTATTTTTTTGGTGAAATAAATTAATATTGATAAACAAAAAAATCATAAAAAGTATTATCATTTAATGATTTTGAGGGTAATATAGATTCTTTGAACCAAATGCGCCAAACACGCACTGAAATTCGAGTCGATAAAAAAATCCAGTTTTGAGCCTCAAAATCCAGCTGAAAATCCAGATTTGGCCCATTTCATTGGTCACATGTATGTATTATTATTTTTGTGGTTTCAATGGTTTTTGAAGACATGATATTGCTTACATAGTCTTTATCGGAGATGAAAATATGCAAATACAATGTATAAAGTTAATAAAGTAACTGAAAAAGCAATGGTTTTAGTAATGTGATGTTGTTACTATAAAACTTTTACATCACAATAGTTTTAAAATTCAATTCACTGATCAATAAATAACAGCTCTCCCTGCTGTTACAGACATGCTCAATTTAATGTAAAACATTACTTACTGAAATAAACAGTACATGGAATCTGGACATAACTCTGATGCTCTGGTGAAAGCTTTCAACGATGCTGTAAAACTTCCTCTAGCTAGGTAAGCTTCCCCGAGACATTCCCATACATGACTGCAAATTTAAAAGTAAATAAGATTATAGAAATGAACTCCAGTTTTAATTCAAACTATATCATTTTTATTGAATTATACTCATATACAGTCTAAACCAAAATCCAATTGAAGTTAAAACAAAATTCAGTATTAAGAAAGCTTTTATCAAAACATGGGTTTAATCGTCATCATGCTGAATATATTTTAAACAGAAGTGTCCATCTTTTAGTCTGGACCAAACCATTTATCATTTTGGGGGGAAATTTCAAAATATATACTTATTGAATAGGAGCCAGTGCAGACCATAATATGCATGGAATAATCTACATATCAAGAAAACTTATCAATTAAAAGCACATGCTCTCAAATGAAAAAATGCAGGGTTGGTAAAGCAGATTCATTCTTTAAAGGCCAATTATGCCTCAGATAGGCAGGCTTTTATTTTCATTTCTCTTATTTTTGGTATACTTTTATAGTTCCAAAAAGTTACTCATTACATAAACCTTTTTTTTTCATCTGCTGCTTTTTGGCAGTAGAAACATTTATAGTGATTGAGTATTTTTTATATTTGAGGCCAAATTACTACTTGGTTTACATTTTGCTTCTTTTATGACACATTTCACATTTATTGCTACTTCAGGTTACAAGCATCGAACTTGCTAAAAAATCTTTATTTAAATGTTATAAAATTCATGTTTGTCCTTTCTCAAGAAGTAAAAATTTTGGTTTCTTAGGCATGATGTGCCTTTAAGAATACTCTGTAAAAGAGGTACTTACTTGTCTTTTGGGTCAGCTCTCAATGCAGACTGGAAAGATGCAATAGCTATAGAGGGATCCTCGTGTTTCACCTGGTATAAACCTAGACGTAACCACGCCCATTTAGCACTGAAAAACATTTCAACAAATATACAAGTAAAGATAGGAGTCTTATAAACTTTATACAATTACATGTATTGATGTAATTGATTAAATAATTATTCAATTTATATTCTTTAAAGGCCCATTAAGCCTCAAAAATGCAAACATTCTTATCATCAAATGCTTTTTAATTTTGATGTCCTGTTACAGTTTCCAAAAAGTTACTCATTTGCCATAAAGCTTACTTACCTTTTGATTCTTTTTGTTTTGTTTATAGAACAGTCATAGTGATTAACTATTTGGTATGGAAGGCAAAATGTCACTTTGTTTACATTTTGCCATTTTTAATCACAAAGTATTTCACATTCAGCACCATTTCATTCAAGAGATAACAAACTTACATGTTCTAAATCCATTATTACAACATTATAAAGCACATGTTTGCTCTTTGTTTGCTTATAAAAATTCAGATTCAATGTAATCAATAGTAATACTATAATCTCTAGCTATGAAGTATGGGGCATTTGGGTTCTTAACTTACCAGCCAGCACTAGCTCTTGTTGTTAAATTGGTCAGAATTGTATGAGCTTGCTCCTACAATATAAAACATAATTTGATGTCTACATGTACAGTTCCTGTCACAATAAATATTGTTGCCATGTACAATATACTACATATTTTTTGTAATAATTTAGATGTAAGGTCACTGTGAAAGTTAAATGTTCGCTTTTAGGTTTTGTTTGATTTTATGGTGCACCAACACAATTTAGGTCATATGGCACTGAAACAGAAAAGATGATTTTGGCTAACCTTAGGTGTTACAGACCAGAGGTCAAAACCACCTCACCTGCTGGAGCTTAGTTATGCATAGACTCCAATAATTCAAACCCATTTAGTCACTATTTATAATCACACAGGGATAAACAGTGTTTTACTTTAAGAAATATTTATCGCCTGTAAAATAAATATTCATATAATTTCTGCTTATAATTTATTTCTTTTGTCAAACTTTAACTGACATTGTTTAGCTCATATGGTGACTGTCCCACTTTACTGGTGGAAGACCTCAGATTTGCCTGTATGCATTTTTTCAAGTGCAAATGGGCACAGGAGAACAACATTCCCACAAGCTAGCTAAATAGCGTTCTCATATAAAAGAAGTTTCAGTTCCAAGCATGATTCATACACACGGTGATGAGGGACAAGTGGTTTGAAGTCACCGAAATTAACTAGATCAACTTGGTCACTGGAGAACAAGGTTTATGCTCAGATTTTTTTTGTGTGGTTTTTAATCAGAGGTAGTCTTTAAATGCAGGTTTGTCTGTTTTTTGTAATGATCTGATACAAGTCAGAATACCTCTTCTCCCTGTTGGTTCAGAATATCACACAGTGCCTCCCCCGCTTCGTCACTGTTAGGGTCAAGGTCAAATGCTTTCTGGTAACATTTACGTGACCTTGAACTGTCATCTGCTTGCTGACTGTAGTAATGACCTAGATACAGAAATGTCTCACAGTTGTAAGGATCTTGTTTAGCTGCCTAGAAAAATATACAAACAAACATAAATTTTGTCACAAAAAAGTTTTTTTCCTTGAGAAAAAAAAAATCAAACTTGAAGAAACGTTTTTGTATTTTGAGGATCACTTTTCGACAGGAAAGAAAATAATTTGTATATACATAATGTATATGTATATTTTTGTTATCAACTTACATTATACTGTAGTACAGATTATCTTATTCATTTTTTAATCCCAATAAGTCAATACAGTTTTAGTGTAAAGAGAAAAAGGTCATGATCCATTAATCTTGAACTAGGAGGCATTGCCATTAATACTAGGCTACGGCTTCTATTATGACACTGAATTTAAAACTAAAAAAGGCGCTGGTTCCATTACATAAAGTTATATGAAAGTCTGATGTCTTACAATTTAAGAAATAATTCTAACCTTTAATAAGATAGTGAAACATTCTTGTTTTCTGTCCTCTGTTTTCCACAAACATTTAGCAAGATTCACCTGGTGACTGACAGTTTCTGGTTCAATTTTTAAAGCTTTCTCAAACCTGAAATAACATGATAAAATGTAGACTATCAATTTTAATTAAATTGAAGAAAATAATTTTCAGAATGTGGAATAACCTTCACTAACATTAGACATTGAAAATGGCTGAAGTAAAATCTCAAGTTTGTTTAAACCAATAGATATTTAAAAAGAAATTAATTTTCACCTGGCACAAACACCCTGACCTGGAAAACACTGTATTACTGGACTTAACTGCAAACATAGGTCTTATACATGTTAATGGCTGAGAGGATAAGATCAGTGCTTGCCCACCACCTACCTTTGGGTTAGAATCCTGCATGGGATGCAATCTTTCTGAAAGATTGTCAGTCTGTCAGCCCTGACTGGTAAAAATTAGAAGGTCAGATGATTATATCTGTATTGGTTGTCGGACGATCTGGTAAAAATTCCATTTGTTCCGTGGTTTATGGAATCCTTAATGTCAAAAATGTGTGCCATAGATCTTTCATTCATCTCTATGCATAAAATGTCCAAATCTATGTCAATACATGAATGATATTGGCTTGTGTAAGGCAGGCATTGTGTCATCAGTCAACTTTAGTTGTGTGATTTTAAGTTAATATCTAATATCAAATAAATATCTACATGTACATGAAAGAGGAGCCATGGCCTAGTGGTTAAAGTGTCTGCCTCTCAACCCACGGATCATGGGTTTGAGTCCTTATTGGGTCACAACCATGTTTCTTCATATGACACCAGTACTGGTTGGTTCCAGGAAATGGACTCGAAAGTGATTAATATAAGTCGCAAGAATTTGTTGCGCAATCCAGCTTAAATAAATATGTTTAAATCTACATATTGCATACTGATTTACCTCAGGTATATCATTACACAAGATAGAAAGTATCAATATATGACATAATGAAAAGACTGTTATAGTATACCTGTCCGCAGCCTCGGTGAATCTGTGTTCATGTAATGCGATCAGACCTTCAAGGACAACTCTCTGAACACTCTCCCCAACTATACATGTCTGTAAGTTTATTTACTTATATTATTCTATATTTTATGTCTGTACCAACATATACCAGTATTTATGTACTTATACTTTGTATTTGTAGAAAATTAATTTACATTGACGTTATGCTCATTTTTTATGTCAAGTTGAGTTGAATAAGTGATATACAAAAGAGTGACTCTTATTATGGTGAAATGCCAATAACTGATAATGAAAATGTTAATAAAACCATGTAAAAACAGCCTAAATTATACAACGACTGCCCCACTCTTTTTAAAAATTGAACATTACTGAGAAATATTCATAGGAATTTCCATTGGTCAAGTGGATTATTGATTATGTTTTCATAGTAAATATACTATACACCAAGAGAAATGAGTTTCTGCTAAAATAAGGGCAAAGTTCCATACTTGGAAACTAGCACAAAATAACTTACATTACTACATCAGTAGACATGTTTAAACTTTTCATCCTAATCTAGTTGGACCCACAGGCATCTTAGATCTACTTACAGTCAGGAAAGCTATAAAGGTGTGACATCAAAATCAAACAAAAATCAGACCAAACTAGAAATGTGTCCATAGGACACAGGTGCCCCCACCGTGCCACTGTTCTGTCAATCTTATGACTCTAGGTCAAATATTTTTTGAAAACTAAAACTTTTTCTCTAAGTTAAGGGCAAGAACTTTACAAATACTGAATAAATCCACAAGCAAACCACAATTGTACATTATATAATAATCAATATTCATAGGAATTTCCATTGGTCAAGTGGATTATTGATCCCTTTTTCATAGTAAAACATACTATACACGAAGAGAAACGCGTTTCTGGTAAAATAAGGGCAAAGTCCCATACTTGGAAACCAGCACAAAATAACTTACACAACTACATCAGTAGACATGTTTAAACTTTTCATCCTAATCTAGTTGGACCCACATGCATCTTAGGTCTCCCTACAGCAAGAAAAGCTATAAAGGTGTGACATTCAAATCAAACAAAAATCAGACAAAAAAACAACATCAAAATACCTTTGCTATGTCTATCTCTCCTTGCTTTAAGTGTATATGTCCCTTCAAAAGAGATACAGTTTCTGCACCTATATCAAGTTCCTGTAATAAATACAAGAAGATCCATTTGCTTTAGGAATGTTTTTATCTCAGAATTGGATAAAAATCGACACAAAAGTATTAAACTATCATTTATGTTTTGGCCACAGTCTTTATCAGAATAATGATTTTTTTATCTTCATCAGTAAGAGATTTTTTTCTCTTAAGACACAAGTAAATCTATATTCACAAAAAAAAAAAGATTGAAATTATTTTTATTTTTTTAATTTACAACAGTTCAAAATCAACATTAAAATAACTCAAGTATTACTGTTTTGCTTTTTTTAAACCACATTTAATGCCTACATGTTTATTTATCCATTCTTTTACATAATACATGTACATTTGTTTTTTTTAAATTAAAGTAAAGAAATGCTTTTTTATCTAATTATTGATAACAGATGAGATCAAATCTATCATAATTTCCAAAATTTCTATATTACAAATATCTTACATTCTCTATTGTATCCAAGGCAACAGAAAGTGACAGTTTGTCCCCGACAGCAACAAGGGAAGTCACTCTCAACAGGTGAAAGCTTCTCGATATTTCTGTACTAGGCCTGGTCAAAATGCGATCTTTTCTCTGGAGTAATTTTAGCCCTATAAATAAAAAAAACAATCATTCAAATAATTTGAAGTAACTACTTTACTGATAAATCTGTACAAATGTATTTCAACAAAGTAAAATACATGAATTTCCTTATCTTTTTTTCAAAAAAAAGAAAAATAAATAAATAAAAATAATGATTTTACAGTATTTCCTTTTTTGATGCTGATTTTTAGTTAGTGAAAAAAAAACTTACCATGTTCACAATGGATCAAAACTTCATCATATCTATGTAAATGTTGGCAGGTCACTGCTTGGAAATATGGTAAACAAACCATCATACAGCTGTCTGGCACTGAAATAAAACAGCATAATTATAAACCCATACCCTGCTGAATTCATAGTGGACTTGTCCTGCTTTGAATTTGGAATTGCCCATTTCTTGTCTCAAGGTTTTGGATTTTAATATCAAAATACTAAAGCAGCTATCAGTGTTGCATGTCATTTTATTTTATTTTTGTTATTTTATTAAATTTTGTTGTTGGGTTTTTACATCGCAACAACACAGTATAGGTCATATAGCGACTTAACTGGTGGATGAAGACATCAGGTGCCTCTTTGTGCATCATATTATTTACTCTTTATTGTGAACTGTTTCACGCATGGAGTCCATAAGCTCACTGGATAGCCTTAACGCAACTTAAACAAAAGTCCCTAGTAGTATTCAAACCCAAAGTGGTAAGGGCAAATAGTTAAACAGCAACCTTAACAACTTGGTCAAAGAGACCCTAGTGATATGTCTAAATATATGCTCAATAGTGACTAATAAAACACATATTCTAAAAGCTTCAGTCACAACTAAGTTTAAACAAATATGTTAAGACCAAGCTAAACTTATATAATAATAGATCTAAAACCATTATCATTTTTTTACTTATTTAGAATAAAAATATTTTTTTTTATAATTTGACCTAATAAATTAGCTGAAATAATTGAAAATTTGAACCATTTACCTTGTTTAAATATATTTCTAGCATTATTGTATTCCTTCCTACAAAGAGCTACAAAACCTTGTGCAATCAGAGATATGTCGGTGTCACTGTCTCCTGTCTTACTCTGGTATAACTTCTCCTCAACTTCCCCACATGTACACATCTTCTCCTCACCTATACAAGTTATAATTAAACAATATCAAGATATGTAAAGGTGAAAATGGCTCACCCCTGAAATCTGAAGGGTAAACTACAAACACCCAACCCCTAAGGCAGATGAGTGCTATGTCACAAAAAGAATTTATCTCCCTTTGAAAAAACATCAGTTGCTTTAAATTCTAAACAAATCACAATAATGCAAAACAATTCAAATCTTTAAATCTTGTAAAGTACTTATCCAAACATTACAAAATTTCTTTTCTATTTCTTTTTTTTTCTCTATAATCAGGATTGAATTGATAGTGATTAATGGCGTGTTTCAACTTAACATTTGCATTATTTCATTTTTTTTACCAAAGAAGGAAAAAATAGTTTATCTAGCACAATGAACTGCTAATAATGGAAAATAATCAGTTACTCCACTAAAGCACAAGCTAATATTACATGGGTTTATATTTTTTGGAAAATTCCATGATTTAAAAAAATTCTTATTTTGGGGGGAAAGTTGAAAACAAACCTACCTATATGTAAAACCCCAGCAATATAAATGAAAAAAAACGGAAATCCCCCCAAAAACAAAATGAAAAATTCTTTGGGAACTTCTTGTTCAGAAAAATTTTGGGGGCTTTTAACCCTTGTTCTTTTCCCCTAAGGGTTTTTATTCTGGGAATGAAAAAAAGGAAAATTTGGAAAAAATTTGAAAAAAGATTAATTAAAAAAAGGAAAACATTTGAAAAAGGATTTTTAATAAAAAACCTCCATTTCCCAAGAAAAAAACCCCAAGAAAAAATAAAAAAATTTTCCCAAAACAAAAAAGGGGTTTTTTAAAGGGATTTTTCGGGGAAAAAAGGGGAAGAAAAGAAAAAAAAAACCCAACCTCTAAATAAACGGGTTGGGGCCTTTTTTGTTTTTTTCCTTTTTGGGTTTTGCTTTACAGATGGACAAAGACCTCAGGTGCCCTTCTGTGCATGATATGAAGCATGAACGGGCACCTGAGTAAACTGACGTTCCCATAAGATAGCTGGATAACTTTTTCACATGAAATAATCTGAAGTCCCTAATATGAAACCAACACCGGTGAAGGGCAAGTGGTTTCAAGTAAAGAACCATAACCAATTTGCCATGTACAAAAATAAATTATATAATACTCTATAACTGGTATATCTGGGGAGTTTTTTGGGTTTTTTTAAATAACAAAACATCCCCACAGACAATGTTACATTTGCGTCTAGTGCCAACTCAATATTTGGTTAAGAAAGGCTCACCTTGACAACTAGAGAGAGATATAATGAAATAATCTCCTCTAAACTATCATCATAAGTCTCTGTAGCATCTAGTACTTCCTTGGCTATTTCTAGTAACTGAAAAATAATTGAAACACATAAAATAATGCATGTAATTATATACTGGTATGTTTGTAAGATTAAAGCTACAATGTGTTTAAAGCTGTTGAGCCTTCAGGCAAGCCAAAACATTTCAAGAAAGTCAAACTTGAGAAAATAAAGATTTTTTAAAAAAGTAAAAAAAAAATTCAGTTAAAATTTACATGTAATGTGTGATTAATAACTGATTTTGCAGTATTTTTCACTGTATTAGTATACTTCTGCATTACTACCATATTTCTACTGCCATAATGAATGAAAAATGTACAAATCTGTGAAAAAAGCGATATTTTACTACTTTGTGATGATTTCTGCAAGCGTCTAGAGGTACAGCTCCAACACTTTAGTGAGTTAAATCCCTGCTTTAAGATATGGCTTTGTTATCTGTAGATTATTTCTTTTTGTTTTCTTGATTTTTTATTATCTCCATTTGAATGTCAGAATTATGTTTAGATATTTATTAATGGTGTAGCTATGCAGGATCTTACCAGAACGTTCATGGTTATGTTTTCATATTCAAAAACAGAATCTTATATGTAAGCCAAGTTCAATAGTATTATTTTTAAATTAAAAAGACATGGAATAAATATTTCAACTTTTTGGTAGTTTCACCTAAAAATTTTGTCAATACATTTCTACTTTATTTAAAATACAATGCCATAAAATTTAGAAAACAAAATTTCAACAAACTTCATTGTTCTTGTCTTCTACATTGGTCAACTTCAGTATATGGATGAAGACTACTTGCATCTCGGTTTTCTTTTGTACATCTTGCTCTTCTTTTATTGTATCTCTGTATATTCCAACAACCTAAAATAACAAAATACAAGTTTTTCAAGATACAGTACTACCTAAGCAGAGTAACACCCTTTGGGTGGTAAACTTTAGGTTGTTGCCGAAGGGTGTGGCTCTAGAGAAGTGTTTCTCTAAAAAAGTTAAATATATAGGGGAATATTACTTTGGGTAATGAGTAAAACTGTTGTTGTTGTTGTTGTTGTTGTAAGAAGGTAATTGCTCTTTATGCAAGGATAATGTGTTTGAGTCACAATTTAATCATGTTTTTTTTTTCTTTACACAAGTACTTTTCAGTTACATTAAGAAGAATTTAGAGTCATTAAAATAAGCTGCAATCTTCCTTCACAAGTGAGCTTAAATATATAATGTTTAAATCAATTCACTTCTTGTCATTCTTGACTTTTTCAAGTGAATTACTGTTTATGTCTAAAATACTTAACCAGGAATCAAGCTCAGGACATAAGGTATTCTGTCCTGCAGCGCTGATAACTGACCTCTTGCTACCCTGTCAGTTTTACACATTTTCTCCTCATTATGTGAACATTGGTTACTGTGATATACTCCCCTATGAATCGAAATTTGGTCTCCACTCAAATTTCTAATGGGTACAGGGATTATAATTGAATCAGAGTTTTATGCCATCACAGAGGCATTTAAGGCTTCAAATGTCACAGGATGAGAAAAATGTATAGGCTGACGGGGACTCAAACCCAGGACCATTGCAATCCTGCTCCTCAGCTCTAACGACTGAACTTCTCAACCTCTGATACAGTTTATCTTCACTACATGTATTATATTACAAAATAATAATTAGATACCTTTTCAAGCTTGGTACTGTTGGTATTGTTATCCACCAACTTTCCAAGTTTTAGTACAGTCTCAACTCTCTTGTCCCTATCACTGAAAAATTATACAAAACACTTTATAAAATAATATTTCTAAAAAACAAATATCCACATATTTTCTCAGCAAGTTTATTCATATCTGTACCATTTTATGCAATAATATTGGGATTTTGACTAAGAAATAAAGCTGGAACTTTGTCATTTTTTGTTGCCTAATCACATTTATGCTTAGTTTTATCAACAAGATGTCCATGATGGCCCTGAAATCGCTCACCTGTATAAAGCCCCCCCTCCCTCAGGAACAATTTAAGCCCAGGGGCTTTTATTTGAACAAACTTGGAAGACACCCATTTGAAGTTGTTTCATGAAAATATCTGACCTCTTGCTGTAAGATTTTTGAAGTTTGACCCGAGGGCTTTTATTTGAACCAATCTGGTAGACACCCACTAGAAAATGTTTCATGCTTAATATCTAAGCTCTAGCTATTTTGACTTTTTAAAAGAAGATTTTTAAGTTTTTACTATATACATATAAGGAAAATCAATGATCCTCGGGGAGGGGCCAATTTTAACCCAAGGGCCCTTATTTGAACAAAAATGGTAGACACCCATTAAAAGATGTTTCATGCTAAATATCTTAGCTAAAGCTCTTAGGTTTTTTTAAAAGAAGATTTTTGAAGTTTTTACTATATACATAAAGGGAAAAACAATGACCCCCTTGGGCGGGGTCAATTTTGACCCTAGGGCTTTTATTTGAACTCTAAACTTTAGCTATTTGAGCTTTTTGAAAGAAGATTTTTTAAGCTTTTACTATATACAATTAGGAAAATCAATGACCCCCCGTGGTGGGGAGGGCATTTATTTGAACAAACTTGGTAGACACTGACTAGATGATGTTTTATGCCAAATATTTAAGCTCTAGCTCTTTAGGTTTTCTAAAAGAAAGAGGAGATTTTGTTTATAGTAAAAGTTCACGGACGCCAGACGGATAAAAATGATCACAAAAGCTCACCATGGTGAGCTTAAAAGGTTTTGACGAAAGGACGCCCCGACAAACATGGGTTCCCACAAAATTTCTTTTCACTTTCCCGTATAAAAATTAAAAACAACATATTTAAAAAACTCTTTTAAAACATTTATGTGTACCCCGTTATAAGTTTTAAACTTAATAAAAAAAATGTTTTCACTGGGTTTAATTATGCCAATAACCTGCTGAACTTCCACCCTATTTAAATACTGTTTGACTGATTTAAAAACGGTCCTTTTAATATCATTTTCATAAATCAGGACTTTATATTCTGAAAAGTTAAAATACTGATTGAAAACCACAATGCTAAATTTCTCATTTTAAATTTTCTCATACACTTAGACACTTTATTAACTAAATAAACAACTGATATCTTTAAATGGTTTAAACTTGTAAATTTATTATCTTATCAGTGATGGAAGTTCAAAAATAAAAACGACCAAACTCCACATATCCAATATCAAAAGCAAAATATTTCTGTTTAAAAACTGTGAAACAATTTGAGGAATACTTTTTTTCCAAGGTACTTTATTTCTACTTAATTTCTAAATGTCTACAAAAAATGAATGTCTTCTAAAGGCAACAGCATTATTATCTTATTAAGGTATGAGCCCCCTAATGGGCACTATAAGGAACTATAAAATTGACAACATAGGTCAGTTATATACCTTAAAAGACACAAGAATGCAAAATTTAAACAAAGTTTACTGTATGGTTTACGAGCTATGGAGATTTTTCTAAAGTAAAACTTGGCTATAAGAAGGGCTCTTTTTCAGCAATGGGAAACTCTTATTATTCTATTTTATAATCATTATGAACTAATGTTTTCCTATAGAAATTTTTTAAGAAACAAATAATAGCATTCAGCTAACAAATGACCCAGCAAAATTATTGTTTCTACTCAAAATGTTTGAAATATATATATAAATGTTACCCAACCACCACCCATTTTAAGTAGTTGTTAGATCATTTTTCTACTTGGAGGGTCTTATTTAAAATATCCCTAAAATTTACTCAAATCAGGGGCTGTTTTCAAAGTTTGCATAAATTTTCTTAAAGGTATATTGGTTGCACTTGTCAAATATAAAATACTTTAACCGTCTAGTTTTTATTTTATTAGACTTTGAAAATACAAGGTACCATTTTTGATAATAAATTTGGCACAATTTAACCAATAAATACCAATAATAATTTTGTAATTAAAATGAAACACTTTTTTCTTATCAAGAGTGATCTGAGAGACACAAATAATGTACAAAGAAAAAAAAACGAAAGAAAAAAAGTTGCCTCTTCTGGGGCTTGAACCCGTGCCCCTCAGTTTCAATGCCCAGCCGATTTTAGTACTCTTCAAAGTGGAGGAAATGCATTAGGTGGGTCATACCTTAATATGCTTTTTTAAGGAAGTTTAATATATCTTGATACACAAAAATTTGATAAAACTTATGGACTTTTTTTCATGCCTTTTAATTATTTTTTTTTTATTTTTTTATTTGTAACAAGACTTGTCTGTGGACGGTTAGAGCAATCTACTTTACTCAGTGCTATATAATTCAATAAAATCAACAGAAATATATAGGGTATAATTCTGCAAATGTGATTAAAGCAGACTTACCTGCCCTTATGATAGTCTACTAGAATTTCAAGTTTAAAATGAATACACTGTTTGGTTATAAAATAATATTAGGATTATCTGCCCTTTTGAAAAGTAATATTGACTTTGCATGACAATAAACAAGTACACCAAGTTTGAAGTGAATAATAAGCTATCATATTTTTTTACACAAAGGTTAACCAATGTCCACATTATTGTTAATGCTTACAAGAGGGTCATGACAATAACTCCCCCTTTTTTCTTTGAAATGAGGAGCTAAAAATTGTGTATGTTATAACATTGTATAATTTGTTATTCTGTTCATCTGTTTTGCATGGGTGGATACTTTAAAGTGAAATAAAGTATTATTCATTCTTTATATCTAAATATTAAAATTATGTTTGAAATACACTTTTAAGCATCAGATGTACAGTTTTAAGTTAACAAGAGCCAGTCCAACACAGTAATGCCCCCCCCCCCCCCCCCCAATTGGTTTTGGTCACAGAGGAGTAGTTTCTTGTTGATATCTCTTGCAGTTTCAGAGCAATCTAGTGAAAGTCAGCTGCAAAATTATGCTAGCATTAAGATCTAACATTCACCCATCTTGTAGTCTTTCAAACAACCAATCATCAGCGAGCTTTCAGTATTTTGAAAGCCATGTGGTTTTCAGGATTTCAAGAACAAACATGACATTGTCCATATAGCTGACAAGTAACCTGGCAAAACAGTCTTGTCAATTAAAAATTGACTATTATTTCAAGTTTATTTATTACTTCAAACATATTTGTCTAACAAAAATCAACAATTTGAATAACCTGCGACGGATAACGGTATTTTGAAACTTCTTCTAATGCCTATCTGTAAAAACAGGTTTGATTGCATGGCTAAAAATAGCTTTCTCTCAAAAACCAAATTATTAAAAAGGCGAAACATACACAGTCTTCATCAAATCAACATGGAAGAAATAAGAAGATCTGAACTTTAGTCAGATTGAGTTACAGAGTTATGTACTGGACAAAGTGTGAATTCTTTTTTAAAAATGACAATTACTCAAACATTAGGCACAGCAAAGTTACAGTTGGGGCCTATGGGTTCTAGAATTATTGGTTGGAAAATATTTTGGCATCAATGTTACCTTGACCTTCAATATTTAAGACCTTTTAGATTTTGACCCAAAAATCAAAGAGGTCATGAAGTGACCAAGACAAATGCTTCTATGAAGTTTGAGTGCCAAGGGCCCATTGGTTGTCCAGTTATTAGTCAAAAACCATTTTGACAAGAAGTCTACATTGATTTAGGATAAAAAAGTAGTTTTCTTTTTAATTTTATCCTTTTTACCGATATGAAAAGTAAATAAAACTGATTATGTAATGGTATGAAGAGGTGGTTAGTAAGCCTGCATTGAACAAAGAAATATAAACAGAACTATCAACATGGACAATGTTTTAAAATACAAGATCACAGTTACCTTAACCTTTGACCTCTCAGCCTGAAAATCATAATGAGTCAAGACTGATGCACATGTGAAATTTGAGGGCCAAGAGCCTAAAGGTTGTGAAGTTATTAGTCAGAAACCAAGAGCCCCTTTATTGTCAAATTATTAGTCAAAAACTGTTTTGACAGCAGTCGATATGACATTCACCTTAAGCCCTGCACCTCGAAAATCAAAAGCGGTCAAATAAGAAATTAATAAGACTTTTCCATTGATTCAAATCATCTATGAATCTCAAGTTTTATGTACTCACTGAAGGACATTTGAAAAACATGCAATACATACGTCAAATGTTTTTTTTTTCTAAAACATTTTAGGTAAAACATGGCAGTCTCAGGAAAGAGAGCATCAAAACAATTTTCTTCATCAACAACATCCATGGCATCAGATGAAGATCTTCAAATTTACTGTCAACCTTGTGACGAGGAAGGAACTAGATGCCCTGCCGATGGTTACTGCGCTGACTGCAAGGAACACCTTTGCAACACATGCTTTAGAGCTCATAGGATAAACAAGTTTACCAAAAAGCATACACTTCTGGATGCAACAAGTATGCCTAAAGTTTTGCAGCAACCCTCAACATCCCTCCACACAGGCCTGTCGGATGACTTGACCTTGCCATGTGGTAAACATCCAAAAGAAATTATCAAGTTCTACTGCAATGATCATACAGAATTTCTCTGCAGTGTTTGTGTTACCCTTGATCATCAAGCTTCATCCTGCAAAGTCAACTATATACCAGACATTTCTGGTGATATAATAGACAGCAAAGAATATCAATTTATCTTGAATGCATTAAATACCACTTCTGACAAATTTCAACAGATATTAAAAGATGTCAAGAACATGACACACAAATCAAACAGCTCTCTCAAAGATGTCATAGGAGAAATTAAAAAGTTTCGGCAAGAAATCAACCAAAGACTAGATGAACTTGAAAGACAGGCTGAAAATGAAGCTAAAGTCATAGAACAAGAAAACAACAAACATCTACAAGCAGTAGAAACAGCATGTGAAGATATAACCAAATCTTTGAAGAAATCATCAGACAAAGTCAAACAGCTCAACAGATCAAAACAAGCTGACAAACTCTTCATTGATTTGAAACTTGCGGAGAAAACATAAAAGATATGGAGGGAAAACTACTAAAACTCTCATCGAATGATATCAAAGAGCACAACTTTCAATCAAATGATGTAATGTTAAATTTGTTTAAAACAGAGAAGTCACTGGGTACACTGACACAGATAACTTTAAATACAGAATGTCAACCTGAACAAATAAAGTGTAGACAATCTTCACATGAGGGAAATATCTGTGCGAAGACATCAAAAGATAAATGCAGTAGCTGGATAACAGGGATTACTCTGCTGACTCCCGATCTTCTTGTCATCACTGACTACTATAACCATGCTGTTAAGATGGTGGATACCAGCAGTCAATCTGTGTCTGATCAACTACAACTAGATGATAAACCATGGGATATCACCACAGTAACCAGTACTAAACTTGCTGTCACACTTCCTGACATAGATACAATACAATTTATATCAATCTCATCAAACAAACTCATAAAGAAGCACACTGTGAAGGTTGATGGAGACTGTCGTGGTATAAGCTGTTACCAAGGTAAACTTGTTGTGTCATTTCTTAACCCCGCAAAACTTCAGATCTCTGATATGAATGGCACTGTACTGACAACAATTGATGAAAAAAATATTTTCCAATATCCATGGTATATCACATGTAACAGAAGTTCAATCTATGTATCTGACTGTATCATGAAGACAGTAACAAGATTAAACTGGCAAGGTGATGTGATAGGTTGTTATAGTGGTATGAGTAATCCTAGAGGAATGTCACTGTCAGATGATGGTACTGTCTTTGTGTGTGATAATGAGAGACATGTTATAGAAGGGATATCAGGAAATTGTTCTACAGGAAAGGTGGTGCTGCAGGATCTGAAGAATCCAGTGGCTGTATGTTGGTGTGGAGAAACAAAGAAGCTGTATTATAGCTGTAATGCTTGCAATCGAAAAAATGACAACTTCCTTCACATCCATGACCTATCATAGACTTGAACAGAAACTTAGTTGAATTAAATCAAACAATGTCAGCGGTTCTTCAATATTAAAAAACTTGCATCATCCATTCTTCTGAAATATTAGCACTACACATGTTTTAAGTTTTGTCAGATTTTTTTTAATGTTAAAATCTTATATTATGAGTGATTAATGATTTAAGCAATCCTTTTGTTGTATTCTAATAATAGGTTTAGTGAGAAATAAGGAAACCAGTACCAGTCATGCTGGGAATACATGGAACAACAGGAGCACCTCAAGCATCTTTAATGCTTGTTCAAGGCAACAGCTATCAATAACAAAGGAACATAATTCCTAAAAGGATAATGTCCCTGGTCATACAATTGTGCATTGTGATGATAATCAAGTATTCAAGTTTCATGTTGATATTATTGACAGTTTTGAAATCATTCTACTTTATAAGAAAGTTTGATAAAAGTAAAAAAGGGGCATAACTCCAAAAGTATAGCTTAAAGAATAATGTCATTGTGTATCAACTGTGCTTTGATGACAACAACAACAACTACAAAGCCTTGAATTCTTTCAAAACAGACAAGCTAAAAATGAAAACTTTGTTTGTTTACATTGATAAATTGACTGTTATCGGTTATATCAATAAAACATTTCATCTTTTATTTTACAAGTACACTATGATATGATAAAACTGGTGAGTTTTCTTTTGTAATCATCAAATGCCCTGTTTATATTTTATGTTACAATACCTGCCCTGTTCCCAAGATTTTGTACTATCTATCATTTTATAACACTTATATTTAAACAGATTACATCAATAAATATCATTTTATATCACTTATATTTAAACAGATTACATCAATAAATATCATTTTATATCACTTATATTTAAACAGATTACATCAATAAATATCATTTTATATCACTTATATTTAAACAGATTACATCAATAAATATCATTTTATATCACTTATATTTAAACAGATTACATCAATAAATATCATTTTATATCACTTATATTTAAACAGATTACATCAATAAAATTAAGTATAAGCTGCTTGTTGTTGTTTTAATCATTGAGTTAAAATATAAGAATACTACATGTATATGTGTTATAAGTATCAGTGACTATGATTGTAGTTATAGTGGAGATAAATGTAATTTCAAGATAAACAAGACCGAATAGTGTATTAATGCCAGCAATATGCACAACTAGAAAAGGTACTGGTCACTCCTATGAAATTTCATAGACATCCAAAAAAGCAGATTCACCTGAGAAAGTCAGACATGATTTTTCTATTGATACGGGAAGTCCAAGTCTGGGTCCCCGAAGCTGGCCCAGACTTGGCTTGTGCGGCAATAGGCCACATGTGTATATTTAAAAGTAAATGAAATAAACAAGAGGGCCAAGATGGCCCTGAGATTGCTCACCTGTATATAGGCCCCTTGGGCAGCGCCAATTTTAACCCAGGGGCTTTAATTTGAACAAACTTGATAGACTCCCATTAGAAGATGTAACATGATAAATATCTAAGCTCTAGCTATTTAGTGTTTTTACAATAATTTTTTTAAAGTTTTTACTATACACATATAGGGAAAAACAATGACCCCAAATTTTGACCCCAGTGCTTTTATTTGAACAAACTTGGTAGACACTCACTAGAAGATATTTCATGCTTAGTATCTTAACTCTAGCTCTTTGGGTTTTTTTTAAAAAGAAGATTTTTTAAGTTTTTACTATACACATATAAGGAAAATCAATGACCCCGAGGCCGGGCCAATTTTAACCTCAGGGCCCTTATTTGAACAAACTTGGTAAACACTCAATAGAAGATGTTTCATGCTAAATATCTTAGCTCTAGCTTTAAGGGTTTTTTAAAGAACATTTTTTAAGTTTTTACTATATACATCAAGGGAAAAACAAAGACCCCCTGGGGCCGGGCCAATTCTAACCCCAGGCCTTTTATTTGAACAAACTTGGTAGATACCCACTAGAAGATGTTTCATGCTTAATATCTAAGCTCTAGCTATTTTGGTTTTTTAAAAGGAGATTTTTTAAGTTTTTACTATACAGTAAACTCCGCTTATAACAAACTTATCGTTATGAAAGTGTAATTTTCTGTACTTTTAACTAAAATGGGACTAAGAAATGAGTTCCTTATAAGGGATAATTCCTTGTATCCGTGTTCGCTATAACCGTATATTTTTATATTAAATGAAGAAGGGCAAAATTTGGGCCAAAAACAATTGTTCCTTATAACAGGAAGTTCCCTATAACAGTGTTCGCTATGAGTGAAGTTTACTGTATTCAAATAAGGAAAATCAATGACCCCCTGGGGCGGGGCCAATTTTTACCCAAGGGTTTTTATTTGAACAAAATTGGTAGACACCCACCAGAAGATGTTTCATGCTTAATATCTAAGCTCTAGCTATTTTGGTTTTTCAAAAGAAGATTTTTTAAGTTTTTACTATATACAAATACTATATACAAATAAGGAAAATCAATGACCCCCCCCCCCCTTGGGCGGGTCCAATTGCTTTTACAAACTTGGTAGACACTGACTAGACGATGTCAAATATTTAAGCTCTAGCTCTTTCGGTTTCTTAAAAGAAATTTTTTAATTTTTTTCTTTTGGTTGCCATGGCAACCAGATTTCTGCATGGAATTAAATTCTTTGAACAATTTTTAAAGTTGACTACCAAAGGAAAATTCCTGTGAAGTTTGCATGAAATTTGCTTAGCGGTTTATGAGGAGATGTTGTTTTAAAGTTAAAGTTTACGGCTGGACGCCGGACGAAAAGCTCACCATGTCACTTTGTGACAGGTGAGCTAAAAAGTGAATTCAGTCATCTCTAGTATAAAATCATGCAAAATATCAATTACAGTATTGAGCTATAAACATACATGTAAATCAATTTCTTAAATCGGCTAACATATCTTTTTTAGTTTGAATTTTTTACATTTTGGTAAACCATTATAGAAATATTCTTCTTTTTTCAAAAAACCTTCATCATTGAAAATAGAGAAAAACAAATAAATAAAAAAATAAGCATTTTCTGAAGTACCTGGCATGGAACTCTACCATCCTCAAATAGGCATCTATCTGATCTTGAACAAATTCAGCGCTTGCATTCTTTTCATAGAAACTGCACAAACCCTGTAACATATTATAACTTAGATTCCTATAAACATTCAATCATACTAGTCTGCATAGCTAAATCTGTTAGAGCGCGATACTTGTGACCTTGACATTGTGGGTTTGATTCCCAGGCTGGCCTACTAAAAATTTACTAATCAGTCTTTCGCAAGAGACTTTAAATCGAGGTCCCCTGATGAGTGCTTCAACACTTGGCAAGCTAGAGAACCAGGAGAAGCTTCTGGAATTGGGGCATCTTTCTAAATCTGTATCTTGCACTATCCTCCAAAATCTAAAATGACTTATACTCTTCTGGAGGACACGCCCATATGGGCAACCGGTGGCGAGTATAATTAAACTCAAACACACAATTACTTACTTGTTGTGTTTGACCTACTTGCTATGTTAGCCTTTGACAATCATAAGTCATTTTGTGGTGCTTGACTTGCCTGCCAGGCCAGCCTTTGACAACTTTACTTGTGGTGTTCGACCTACCTAGCATGTTTGGTTATAACAAATTTTCTAGTGATATTTGATTTACCTGCCAAGCTAACAACTGTGTATCATCAGAATCTATAGCACGCTTGTATGCCTTCAATGCTTGATCATACTGTTCTAAACCTTCGGCAGCAACGGCAATCAGCACTAGGGCCATGTAGTGATTTCCATCTTCAGATAATATTGTCTATAAAATTATAAATCAAAGTGTATTGAACATACAGTACCTCTTTTAGAGAAGCAAAACAATATGCTAAAAGAAATTAATCAAAGTCAAGGTGTAGAACAGATAACATCATTGACTGCTTTTTGGATGAAAAAGAGCCGCGTCATGACAAAACCAACATAATGGGTTTGCGACCAGCATGGATCCATACCAGCCTGTGCATCCGCGCGGTCTGATCAGGATCCATGCTGTTTGCTCACCAACTCTATTACAAGTAGAGAAACTGATAGCAAACAGCATGGATCCTGATCAGTCTGCATGGATGCGCACGCTGGGTTGGATCCATGCCGGTCGCAAACCCATTATGTTGGTTTTGTAATGGCACGGCTCAAATGTGTAAATCTAGAGCATGGCATGGTTGGTGCAGCTGCAGATTTGTAGAGATTTCCAGGGTCCTGAGTTGAAGTCTTTGTCAGGTTGTATATTTTTCATACCTTGTAACTTGACTACTGCATCAATTATGATTTATATACATGTACACTGTATATGGTACCTTAAATAATTACTGCAACATAGTAGAGTATCAGGTGTGAATAGATCATTGAAAGAAATAACATATAAAGAAGTATTTACTACATATTGTACATATGTGTAGAAACTTTCTTTCAAATCAAAGCTTTTTTTCCTGCAAAATTCAATTAGTACTACATGTAAGATTTTTCTTCCTATTTTGAAATTGTACTGTGTTATTTTTTTCTCCAAATTTAAGGGAAGGCCCTTCCCTAATCTGTGTGAAAAGCCCTGCTATATAATATCAAGACAAGCTGCTAAAAAATATTTAGTTTCCTTTGCAATACAATTTCAATGCTCGTTATTGATATAATTTTCACATTTTTATAATGATTTTAAACAGAATTCATTTTAGTTTAAGCTATAAGCTTATAAGCACACTGTTGAATCCATTATTGGAACCAACCAGTACTGAGCATAGAGTGTGAAATTTCTTGCTCAAGGAAACAGAGGCTTGGCCGTGATTGGGTTTAAACCCACGCGGCTATTGATCCTTAGATTTCAAGTCTGAAGCATTAAACATTTATAGTATGATTAGTAGCACTTTTACAGATTTTGTCAGGAAAAAGTCATACACATCTACACACTACTATCCAAATACAGGAGAAATACAGGTAATAAAATGGACGGTCAAATGACAACAAAGTAGAAGCAGTTACTGGATGTAAACAATGGGCATAGAATAATTACTTATAAATAAACATAATTACATCAATGCTTCTAAATAAATAACATACCTTGCAATGTTTTAAGGCTTCTTTGAATTCTTTTTTTCTGATGGCCTCTCGAGCATTCTTAAGAAGTGTCTTTATCTCTTTTGCATCCATCTGTATTTAACTGAAAACAACATAACACCAGTGGTTTTAACAAAGACATAAGAAAACAGTGACGCAAATGAATGTAAACAGACTTCAAACTCAAGACAGTGTTATGTGATTAAAGATAAGCAAGATTATATTCAAGTAAAGAGATTCAAAATGGAACTAAAATTGCTGATTCAGTAGCATTTTATTCATTTTGCCAAAATTCATATAACATTTTCTGCCATGTTTTCAACTGCAATAGCATTTTGTTGGCTGTGACAGAGATGTAGATAACAGAGATAAGCAGCTCCTATTTACTTCATTGAGATATCACTCATGCCTATCAAAAAGTGAAAATTTAGGCATTTTGTAGCAATTAAAACTTCAAAGAAAACACCATTTGAAAGTTAAAGTAACTACACTGAGATTCAAAAGCCTATAATCATAAAATTTGAATTTTTACATTGACATGCAAAAAATAATTAAGAAATATACTCCGAAATGAATTGAAAAGCTTTTCAATGTTGGGTCATTTTTCACACTTTGAATAATTATCCTGGATAAACCGCAAGAGCGAATGATCTAAAATTTTGCACACAGGTTACTGATCTAGACCTACATCAAACTGACCATTAATCTGGAACAATTATTTTCAGTCTCGTCATGTTAAAAAACCTCAGTGGAGTCCCTTTAAATCTGTTATCTATTGCAGCTTGTTAAAATATTTGTAACTTTCCATGCCTTACACTTAGAAAAAACATAGCAGATCATACCCTCTGAGCCAGTTTTTTCTTCATATGAATAGTTTTGTAACAGAAATTAATATTTAGTTCTCTTTAAAAATTGATGTATCATTTATTTAAATGGGAACTTTAAATGTTTTAACTGCAGCCATAGACAAATGAATAAGCTTTCAGAAAATGTATTATTTTACTGATTTCCATGTTTGGTTAATAAGCTTTACTTGCTACAAGTTTTAAGTTAAGCCAACACGTATGATATTTTAACTGGCTAGAAAGTTGCTTATCTCGAGAACTGTTATCTGCATGTATGTCTCTGGCTGTGACAATTTTTATTGAATGTCAAAACAACCTGTGTCTCTCTGAAGGGAAAATATAGAGCTTGATAATTCTGAAAAAGGAAAGATTTGAAACTTATCCTGTCTGTGGACTAGTCAAAATATATTGATATGCAAAAGCTAGATTACAAGATATTTTTATTTTGGGTCTGAATCTCACGAGGGAGATATTGCCCATACACAAAATAGCACATTATCTTATTGTGTAGTTGCACTAGACTGTGGCTGTAAATATTTTAGTCATGTTTTGACGTCACATGTACTGTCTTAAGAAAAAAAGTTTTACAACGTTTACAAGTTTTAAACGGATATTTACAACTGCCAAAAAGTATTTGGAGTTCTCCAATGATCAGCAAAAATTTAGTCACTTGATTTTTTAACAACTACCTTCAATTGTGAGATTTATGCATGTCATGTGAAATGAAAATATAAACAATTGAGAATTTGAAATAAATGTACATAATTTCGGATATACAAAATTTTGGTTATGGGTAATAATTGTATGGACTAAACAAAATACCAGTGATTGTAATGGCTGTTATATTGCTACCTAAAGTGATTAGTTTGTGTAATACTAAGTGAAACAGCTGTTCATTAATATCATTATGACTAAAATGTTCTTACAAACAAAAACATGTTTAAACTTATGTGTACCCCCAGATTTGAAATGTACCCCCAATTTTCAATGACAGGGGGTACATGTACCCCTACATTTGAAATTGAGTGGGCATGCTGGAATGAAAGGATTTTTTTAACGACTTCCCCGTTCATAGGCTTTACCTAATTTTATATTATTTTATTGATGGTCAAACTGACTTTGCCAAGAAGCAAAAATATCTCAAAGCAGTGTCATACATGTATTTATAGGACAAGGCGTTCACCTGGACCCATAGTCCAAATATTTAGACGTAAACCGCGGAATTGAAGCTATTTTTTACATTTGTCAAATCCGCTTTAACGTCTAAAATATCTATTTAACAGTCTATAGCAAAATGAAAAACAATAAACATGCACAATCATTCCAACTTCCCATGTAAAATGTTACAAATAATCATAATCCTACCACAAATGTGTATTTTCCTTATCAAAATCAACTTATTCAAATTTTAAACAATTTAAATCAAATCCCATTTTAAAATTGTGTAAACAGCCTCCATATTGTGTGTACTACGCAATGCGGTGATTACTGGAACCATATTTTTTTAGACGAAATTTTTATTGCGCGCACCTGTCAGCTTCTTAAATCACAACAGAAATTTTTTTCGTGCAGACTAATTTGGTACTATAGTTTTTTGAGTGATGTCACAGCAAGACCGGGAATTTCCAATATGGGGGTCACCGCAAACTGTCTTTCACGTGTTTTCTTAAATATATGGATAAATAAACTACTTATCGTGAGTAATTATTGCATATTTTTACAGTTTTTGGGAAAATATGCTTCCGTCTTTTATGCAATCAATTTCTTTTTGTGATAAAAAACATTTAAGTTGTGATTTACCAGTAAATTCAAATCGACTCGAGAAGCGTGTCGATTTGTGCTATGGGAAATTAGCCAGTTATGGAAAGACTTCGCATTTTCCGATAAAAGTCAAACTGTAAAAAAAAGAAAATGCGATGTCTTTCAATGAAGGACTAAATATCTTATTGTGTAGTTCCACTAGTCTGTAGGTGTTCAATAGTTCAATATATTAGATCATACAGGCTTGTAATATTTTATTGATAGTCAAACTGACTTTGCCAAGAAGCAAAAATATCTCAAAGCAGTGTCATACATGTATTTCTAGGACTAAGCGTTCACCTGGACCCAGAGACATAAGTCTGTTTCTCTGCCTGAACCATAACAGAAACTTTTTACCATACACTGACTTAATGCAAAACATTATAGTAACAAGCTTATGTTGGCAATACTATCAATAAAATCAGCACCTTATGTCACTGTAGTTGAAATTCCTTGTCCGAATTTCATTACAGTTTATATTTTCATGGTAAATTATTTCAATTATTTGATGTGTCATGGGCTATACTTGTCTATTTATCAACAGAATTAATGATATTGTAGAAACTATCATATTTTGAAATGTTTTGGATCAATCTTAAAATGTGATAAAATGAGTTTGCAAACCAAAAATAAGAGTTGTTGTTGTTGTTGTTGTTGTTGTTGAGGGGCACGGGCTAAAATGCGTACATTGCTTAATATTTCGATGATATTTAAGGATATAAATTGGCACAGGCTAAAACGCTGACGCTTATGCAGACAATAAATAAATCAGGATATATAGTAAAACGCAGACAATATAGATATAGAGTGTTTGTTTTTACAAAACGCAGACAATATAGAACAAGAAGGGGTAAATTACACCCTTCAAAGCTGTTTAGATTTGTAGTTTAAGATCAAAATTTTCAGATTTTAGAGATTTATAGGTATTGATATTAAAATAATGAATTAGAATTTTAAAGAATACTGTAGAAATATATTTTATGATTTTTTGGTAAGAAATAATAAATACTGATATAAAAAGGTGTGTTTTTTTTTTCGTTTTTTTTTGACATTGTATGCTTAATTTGAATAAACTTTTATTATTTTAAGATAAATGTCTGATATAAGTTTTGTAAACTTTAATGGGGAGAATTTTAATTGGGACAATAAAGTAAGTTTCAAAATAAATTTAAAGAACAGAAGATATTTGATTTGATTTTTATACTTTGTCCATCTACAAAGTAATCACTAAATAGTTTTAAAAAAAAAACAATGTTATCAAGCATTTATAATTATTACACACAAAAAAACACAAATAAACAATGTGATGTAAAAATATAAATATCATTAAAAAAAACACGTGTTTATCATATCAAATCAATACATATATCTATGTTGTCTGCTTTTCTTTGCAAGTACTATATACTCTATATTGTCTGCATTTTACTACATGTTCTATACTGTTAATAAAAGAAATACATGTCTGCAAAATAAATTTTCACTATATATCTATATTGTCTGCGTTTCTTTGCAATTACTATATAATCTATATCGGCTGATAAGCTGGGTTTTTTAATGATAATCATATTTATATTTTTACATGACAATGTGTTTTTTTTACTAATTATAAATGCTTTATAACATTGTTTTATTAACTATTTAATGATTACTTTGTAGATGGACTAAGTATACAAATCAAATAAAAAATATGGTCCATAAAAAAATATACATGTAAGTTATATTTGTTGCGTTCTTTTTATATGTATAAAAATATTATCCGTGAAGAACAGAAGATACCGAATATGGCTTATATTTTATAAAGTAAGTGGTTTTTTTTGTGTGTGTTTTTGTTGTTCTTTTTGTTTGATGTGATAATTGATTATAATGAAATGACAATTATGCAATTTATTTCACTTTATATTTGTTAAGAACAATCATAAATTATTTCAGGGTTTTTGTCTGATCTTATGCATATTTCTTAAAGTTTTAACACTGTTTGCTCTATTTATGACCTGTGAAATACTAAATGCCAAATTCGTAACAAACAACAAGCGACCAAATTGACACTGAGTGAGAAGTGTCAATTTTTATCATGTATATATGAAACATTGTAGCGTAATAAAACATTGTACATTTACAATTCAGAATGTCTAAATACGCAATTTTCGGAGATAGTTTCATTACTAGACTTCAATCTTTTACAAATGGCAAATTAGATTTTGACCGACCTCACAGATTTTTTGGTGTTTCAGAAATGTCGACACAGAGCAAATTCACAAGCAAGTTCAGAGAAATGTTAGAGTACCAACCGAGGCAAGTAAACAATAATAAAAAAGATCATTGTTTAAAAACTCGCTCCAACATAACATGTAATGCATTACTTAAGTCCTGATTTATTTAATCATATTACAAAGTCATACTACACGAAATTGAGAGATGGAGATATTAAGCTTAATTTGTATACAAAAGCAGAGTCAAGTTACTTACAATTTGTTTAATGATAATATTAATGTTGATTATTTTTATTTTACAGATATGTATTTATTAACTTAGGAGGGAACGACATCACGGCAGCTTGTGATATCCAATCTATATATATCAACCTGATCAATATAGCAGAGGAACTTTATAATTCGGGTGTGGAACGCGTGTTCGTGGCAAGCATTATTGAAAGAGGAAACTTTGAACAGAGGACAGGTCTAAACAGCATGATGTTCAATAAAATCAGAAGGTCACTCAACAATAAATTGAAAAAGTACTTTGGTCACGATTTTGTGCAAGTGGGAAAAAGACTACGATATCCTAGACACTATGATATGGATTTAGTACATCCAGGGTGCTCCGAAAAAGGCATGACAGTATTTAAACATGAGGTGTTAAAGTGTTTTAGGAGAACTATACGCTAGATGGAGAATATGTATTGAACTATGTAGTACATGTTTATCTACTTAATAATCATATTATTATATTAAAAATAAAGAAATAAACAAATGATTCATGTTTCCCGTCTTTTTTTATTGTTATTTGAAATACACATCACCACATCTTTAGAAAGCAGACATTTCCTTGGGATAAACCGCTTTTATTTATTTAAAAAAAAGTATTTTAGGACATTATTTGTTCGACAGATATAGAAATACAGAGATGATATAATCATTATATACCTTTTTAGCTAAGATGAATGTTTTATTTTTTGTAAATGATCCAAGATAAAATCTATATAACCAATAACATAAATATTAACAAATTTTAGCATGATTTCCGGTTCCGGTTATGTCGGTCGTGTATTTTTGTCATGTGAAAAAAAAAATTAAAAAAATGGAATATTACTAGATTAAACAGATATTAGCTTGATATGAATAAGGATAACTTGCAGCTAAGTGATATTTGATCTTGTTATTTGAAGTAAATTGTCGGGCAAGAAACTATTTGAAGCCCATACAGACTATGAAAATATTATCCTTTGTCTGCAGAAAAATACATTCAAACATCGCAGGTAGAGGGGTCATGATAAAAAATGTCAACAATATCCCGAGGGCATAACGGCTATTTCTGAACCTTTAACGGAAAAGTGATGGCAACTGGATACGCTGGTGTACGGACATAATCCCCTTCGGACAAAATCCCCTTCATGTATTTTTGTATATCCGGACATAATCCCCTTCATGGGTGGACATAATCCCCTTCATGTGTGAAATTTTGAAGTGGACAAAATCCCCTTCATAAAATTGCTACCTAGGACAAAATCCCCCTCAGAGGAATTTTCGTTTTTTTAAGTGGGTATGAGAGCCACATACTGCATTATGCTGTGTAGTAAATATCTTAATATATAAATGAGGAGAAAATATTTCAGCAGAGAAGCACATTCAATTAGCAACATTTAAATCACATTAAAATTGCTTTGATAAAGCATTCATAACAATCAATCAAGTAGTGCAGTGATCTTGGTTTGATTAAATTATCACTCTTTCATCAATAGAAATTGTAACAATGGATAGTATCTATCAATTAGAATTATCAACTTATACAATCAATGAAACAATTATTGGCTAATAAAATGTTTTTCATACTAATCAATTTAAAACTATTAAAGAAATTGCCTAATCAAATATGTGTTATGCAGTTGATAATTTACCATAATTTTAATGAAAACTTCTAAACTAAATAAAGGTAACTATTGATACATAATTATAAATAAAAAAACAAAAGTTCATTATTCATCAATTTTTAGGGAGTATAATAATACATTATTCATCAATTTTTATGGAGCATAATAATACATTAGAAACCTATGAAACAAGGGGATTTTGTCCGGGTAGTGAAGGGGATTTTGTCCAGCCTTGCAAAAAAATGAAGGGGATTATGTCCACCCATGAAGGGGATTTTGTCCGGGTAGGTGAAGGGGATTTTGTCCGAAGGGGATTATGTCTGACATTCGGATACGCTACAGATCCTCCATTAAGCGGGAATATTAGACAATTAACACACTCTGTTGATCTGTCAATGCCGGCGGCCCCGACGGCCACACACGTGTTTGATTGCGATATAAATGATCCTTTCAATAACAGCTCAAATGATTTACATACACTGACAGCAGTTAAGCTACAGGAAAACAGCTTGCAGTGCGATTATCAACTAGACGATACTCAATATTTAAATGAATCGTTAGATATATTAGATAGCCAGCCAATTTGCAATCAAGAATTCTTTAGTGTCTTAGATGAGATTCTTTTTAATAAGCCAAAGGATGAATATATTGAGAAACTGATAAAAACTGTAAAAATGATGACGATATTTGTATGTATAGAAGCATTCTATTGAAAAGAGCACGCGACTTTGAACACTGTCCGAAAGGTCCTTTGGTTCAACAAAGGACAACAATCGCGAAAGAAAGCTGTGAAAGATACGCTAGCGATTGCTATGCATTACAAGACTTCATTAATAACAAAGACCCTCGTGTATTAAACAATGTTTTTATTAAGCGAAGAGCACAAACAAAATCCGAAAAGAAAGATGAATATGATCTACAACCTATGCAATGTAGCAAAACGGTTCAGCAGGAGTTAGCCGAATTGAGATCATGTATCCAGTTAATACAGCAAGACATGAACACTGTGAAAAACGAAAATTCTGTTTTGAAGCAAACACTTAAGTCTTTGAACTTAGAAATCGCTTCTCTGAAAAAGCAATCAACAGATTCTACGGTTGAAAATCGGAGACTAAGGGAATCAACAAATGACAGAAATTCATCACTTTCAAAACAATCAGACGATGTGTCTCATGCAGAACGTCGCCAACAACAACAACCGACGCTACAACAACAACCTCACATAAGGGCATCCTACGCTGAGATAGCTTCTGGCACAAACAAGCAACACCAGTCAAAGGAAAACAATACCGAAGATAGAAATACGACTCTAACTGACTCAGATATAACTTCGCTTTTCGCATCACTTGCTGCAAAGAAATCAGAGAACAACAAAAGCTCAAAAAACCGAAACGATACATCGACGTCATTGGGTAAAGAACCACGAAAACAAACTACCAATAATTCTGGTCGTTTAATACCAGTAATGATTTCAAAACGACAAAGCAATGATTATTCTTCACCGCCAGATCATATATAACCGCAACGAAAGACAGGACACAAACTCAAATTTCGAAAACTTTCAAAACGCGCAGCACAATACAGATGACCATGACAAACATGAACCTATATTCGAAAGTGTTCACTCAAGGCGCACGCGTAGATACTATGTCGGTGGTATAGCTACATATTCGAACAAGGAAGGGATAATTGAATATCTCAAAAGTAAAAATGTTACACCAGCCGCTGTAAAGCTTTTAATACAAAACGCGGATCCCTTGCGGCTAAACTTACAATATACCAATCTGATTGCCGTGTTGTTGAAAATAGAGACTTCTGGCCGCGTAAAGTCTATTGCCGTCGCTGGTACTCGGAAGCAAAATGGGAGTCCAAATTTACACGAACTACAACAACAAAGAGCAAAACTATGAAGAAAACTATGTTGAGTAAAATATATGTATTACTACTGTTATCCACAGCATTACACTATCTCACAATAGTTTCTACAAACAAAACGTTTTCTTGTAATATTCTTACATGGAATGTTCGCGGTGCAATGTCGTCTGCGGGCTCTATAAGCTACCTACTAGACAAACATGACATTGATTTTGCATGTTTAGTAGAACATAAACTCAAACCCAACTGTAAACACTTTTTAGAAACAATCCACTCAGATTATCGTGCACACACTATTTGTGAAACTGTTGACTCAAACATGAAATGTGGTAAAGGTGGTGTAAGCATCTTACATAAAAAAAATCGTTAAATTTTAATGTCGATTATCTTACCGAACGCGAATTTTAAGTCGCATTTTAGGCATTAAAATATCACAAGAAAACTCTATTCCAACATTTTTGTTCTGTATATACATGCCATCTGTTAATTATACATTTGAAGATTATGTACAACATTTAGATGCTTTACAAGGATTACATGATTTATACTCTGCTGAAGGAAATGTCATTTATTGTGGGTGATATGAATGTTGATATAGACAATGAAATACAGACACATCGCAACAGAGTGCAAAGCTATAAACAATTTCTAAGCATAAATAATCTAAAACTTTGTAAAACTAGTGGAGAAAAGTATACTTTTCGCCCTACTCAAAAAACTTTAGACTATATTATAGTTAGTAAGTCACAGTATGATATTGTTAAATCTTGCCATGTGTTTGATGATGCATGTTGTTCTGTTTCAGACCATTTACCGATACTTACTAAATGTGTTTTACCACTGACTCATATATTATGTCTCTCATACTCCATATGTAGCATGGAGCAAGTGTAAACCTGATAATCTCTTAGCATATGCCCAATTTACTCAATACGATGTTATCAGAATTAGACATCTCAAATTTTGAGCTATACAATAGAAAATATTGAGCATTTATATAGACATGTTGTTGCATGCATAAAACATTGTTCTGATATGTTACTTCCTATAAGTAAATTTAACAATCATGTTAAACCGTACTGGAACACAGATGTTAAGGCTGCATATAAACGACAAAAGACTGAGCGCTTGAAATGGCTTCAACAAGACAAACCACGAGGAAGAGAAAATGTGTTTTTTACAAACTACAAAGCGGCAAAACGCATATTCATAAATGCTCAGAAAAACGCTATTTCGGATGTTAATAAAAAATATTATGATGACCTAAATGAAACTGCTGAATGTGATATGAGGCTCTTTTGGAGTTTAATTAAACGCAGAAAAGGTAAACGATCTAATCAGTTAATGAGATCTCTCGTGGAGACCATCTTACTCGAGAACCTGCTGAAATTGCGCAAACTTTCAGAGACTATTACGCCAATGTATTCACCCCGAAAAATAATGAACGCTTTGACAATATTTTTTTGAATAATCTCGATGAAAGTGTTAGAATGTTCGAAGAAAGCGATGACTATTCAGAAGATGACATTTTGACAAATGAAATTACCATGAACGAGCTGAAAGACTGTTTTCGTGATATGAAATGTAGAAAAGCACCCGGTCTTGACTCTATTACAACCGAGCACATCATACATGGAGGTGAAACATTAGCTTCATACTTGTTAAAACTTTTCAACATAATGCTCGAATGTAATTATATTCCTGGAGCATGCAAATCTGGAGTAATAATTCCAATACATAAGGAGGGGAAACTTAGAACAGAACCAAAAAGTTATCGACCAATAACCCTTCTGCCAGTTATTTATAAACTATTTGAACGAGTGCTTCATCATCGTCTAACAACATGGACAGCCTCAAAGCAGCTAAAATTTCCGAGCGCACAACAAAATGCGTATCAAAAACATTTAGGACCAGTAACCGCATCTTTCAATCTACAAGAAGCTGTACTGTCATACACAGAAAGTAACTCTAGTGTGTATGCCGCTTTCCTAGATACTGCAGGTGCATTTGACAATGTGA